CACTGCTCAAGCACCAGCGACGCCTCCACGCCCGAGCGCGCGTGGACCAACGCGCCCAGGAGCAACACCGCGCCCAGTGGCGGGCGCTGCAGGCCAAAAGCCCCGCCGAGAGTAAATTTGCAGTCCGAAGTCCGTCGCCGGCGCGTGCTGCCGGCGCGTATGAGGAAGCACTGATTGCCGAATCCAAGGCTGCGCTCGACGAGCAGCTGCAGCAATTGCGCGCGTCGCGCGACAAGGAGCTCCGGAAGGTGCGCGCCGAGCTGGACGCCGACCTCATTGACGCCATTCGCTACGTGCACTTGGCCGACTACAAACGGTGATGCATTATAGTCCTAAGGCGTAGAGGGTTAAATACTAAAGCTAGCGTTAATCGCTAAAAGCGCCGGAACGACGTCTTCTTTGGAGGCCCCGCCGGGCGCAGCGGTGGGAGCACCGTCGGCTTGCGCACGGGCTTCTTCTCGTCGGGCTTGACAACTTTGGCGGAGCGCGACGATTCCTTTGGGGCACGGCGCTCAGTCTTTGGCGCCGGGGCTCGCGTTACATTCTTCTTGGTCGTCTTGCGCTTTGGCACTTGGTTGGACGTGAGCTGCTGCGTGATGAAGCAGCTTGGCGCGGGTTTGACGATCTTGAGGTCGCGGCTAAGCGTGCTTTTGACATGAATTGGGAGCTTCGCCAGTCGCTTGGGCTTGGTGGTAGGCTTGAGAAGAGGTCGCTTGACTTTCTCGACACGCAGATCGTCGTCGGTGTTCTCGGCGTGCAGCGGTGCACGCTTCTTGCGGAGCTCTGGCGGCAGCGCGTTGAGCGTCGACGTATGGCCCAAGATGGGGTTAGCGAGCCGATCCAGCGTTCGCTTGTTGGTCTTCTTTGGCTGCGCGGGCCGTGTGCCATACCGGTGCTCGATGAACGAGAATCGCGCCTGGACCTGCACGTGGTGGTTGAGTGGCGGCGCCTGCTCGTCGCGCCGGGGCGACTGCAGCAGCGCGAGGAGGGCGAGGCGCTGCGTCACGTCGTTCACAGGCGGCGGCGCGTCAAAGCCGCCATCACCGTCCGTCTCGGGAACGTCGCACGCGGTGAGGAAGATGGGCCGGCACGGGTCGACCGAGTAGGATGGCATGCTATTTTTACGCTTGCCGTTCCGCATGCGCCAAAGGGTTTAACGCACGCTCGAACAGGCCGCCACGTGGGCTTTGACGCATAAAACGCAATATCGGCCGCCTGTCTCAATCGGGCCAGCATCCGTCCGGGGATGTTCCAACCACCGACGGCATGTCCCAGCGGCGCGGCTGCTCTAGGGCTACTGGCGTTGTCACCTCGTTCGTTTTCTTTGGACAGGCGATGGCTTGTACACGACTAATTTTGTTTATTGATCCATGCTAATACACACCTACTAAGTTAAGAAACACCCACGCGACACCGAGGAGAGACGCAGCCGCTTTAGTTTTGCTCGCGGCCGTGCTTGATGCAAAAGCCGTTGCGCTGGACCCACTTTTCGCAGCCGTCGGCCTTACACCGCACGCCGCCGCCGTGGCCGCGGCAAAAGCCGCGCGATTGGCTCGACTTGGGGCAGCTCGGGAACTTGCAGCGCGCGCCGCCGCCGTGCGCCTTGCAGAGGCCCCGGGACTGCGCTGTCTTGTCGCAGTTTTCAAACGAGCACGGGGTACCACCGCCGTGCGCGATACACTTTTTGTTGGCCTGCGCGCTCTTGGTGCAGCCGGGCTCGGTGCAGCGCTTGCCACCGCCGTGGCTGCGGCAGAGGCCCTTGGAGCGCGCGACGTTCTTGCACGACTTGGTGCGGCAGACGCGGCCCGAGCCGCGGTTCATCGGGTCGCTCTCTTCGTCCGGCTGCTCGTCGTCGTCCGACGACGCGCTCTGCGGCACTGTGTTCTGGAGCATCGTCGACGCGGGGCTCCAGCTCGCGCTCGTCTGCGGCGAAAAGCTAAACGTGGGCACCGACCGCTGCTGGACTGGGTTTTGCGTCATGTAGCTGCTCGGGTTCCAGCTGCGCGAGAGCGGGATGTCGGGGCGCGGCATAAACTTGACGTCCGCGCTGTTCTCAAAGGAGCCAAACGCAGTCGTCGGCGTCGGGCGAAAGCCGTTCGACGGGTGCATCTCGGTCTTGATCTGGTTGAAGCGCATGACGTCGGGCTCCATCTGGCGCTGGTGCATGTAGCGGTGCATCTCGTGTGGGCCCTGGTAGCTCGAGGAGTGCATCGATGGCGGCGTCGTGGGCTCGCGGCGCTGCGGAATGTACTCGCCGAGACTCATCGAGCGCAGCTTGGGCAGTGCGACCGACTCGGAGAAGGACGACGAGGCCGTCGACGTGTACGAGTTGGTGTAGCCAGGCGAGTACGAGGCCAAGCTCGGGAGCGCCGATGGCGTCGACGCGGGGCGCAAGGACGGGATCGGGATCGGCGCCGAGCTCGCGTTCTCCATCGGGTGGTGCACCGACTTGGTCGAGTCGATCGAGGCGAGCGACGGCAGCGACGCCCGCTTGTAGACCGGCGTCTCGTACATGCTCATGGAGCGGCGCTGCGCGTGCTGGTAGCTGTAGTCCTCCATTGGTTGCGTGCTTCCGGGCAGATTGCTTAATGGCCGTCCGATAGCAATCGTCCGTCAAGTTGCATTTTATTACCCTCTATCCCAACAATAATTTAAAAACGTGACTGGCTTTTTATAATCCGGATGGCATCCGGATGCTCTACATTTGTAAATTGTATGCTGCTCGGGGGCGCCTGCGACATGGTAAAAAAGAAACCCGTTTCTGATTTTGCACTATTAAAATACCTCGTGTTTTTATTAGACTGGCGCCGAGACAGGTCGCGCGAGATTGAAGTCGAAATTCGTACTAGTAGTACCGTACTGCAATGACGCTGCCTTCAACACCCTGTCTCGGCTGAGCCAGTCGATAGCCACTGGGCACAGCAGCAACCCGTCGGAGGAGGAGAGGCTGCGGAGGATGATGAGCTTAGGTCGCGGAAGTGGGTGTGGGATGGACAGTGTTACGCCGATGCAAGCGGATGCTGTTTCGCGCCGACATTTAAATCACTTGGGCCTTGTACGGACGGTTGTCTCTTTTTTAGCCCTCGGCGTTGGCTACTTTTTCCCACTGTCTCACAGCCTTGCTTGATGCTTGGTTCTTGAAGCGTATGTTGAAGATGACACGCGTTGCTCGCCGTCATCTGCTGTCCAGCCACAAGCTGATTATTATCCATCGCCAGCGATGGATACCCGTCTTATCGAAGAGTCGTACTGCACTGTGGGGGATTGCGCTGTCGTCGGTGTCGGCAAGCCAAACGAGTGGCGCGCGTCGCCTCCTATTCTACACTGTAGTTGTCGACCAAGCGCTGCCGACGACGGCGAAGAATGGTCTTCGCCAGCGGGTTTGTGAAACCACATACCACGCGGTGAAAAGGGCAAGTGAGAAGGTGACTGGAAGCAGGCGGTGGGATTGCGCATTCCCTCAAGAAGCTTTTGCATACAAAAAACAAGTCAATGAATTTATTTATTTTTAATTGGACAGCTTTTTTATGGGTGAAGAAGCCCCACCGCGTTCCTCGCGTCAAGACTGTTCTCGATCCACCACCAGTGCCTCTCGACGGCGCGCTCGAAAAGATCAAGTAGACCAGAAAGCGCGATATTATTTGGTCAATGGATGATGTGACGGGGTTCGAACCGCCTCTGAGATCCTTCGAATTCATGGGAAGTGGCGGCGTTTCGCCCGAATGTGATCAGACATAGCTTGCCGGCGACGAGGCAGGGTGCGAGTTGCTCTTTGCTATGTTCACAGCGTCCAGCGATTGCCTTTCCCATCCATGCCGAAGCGTCCACAGTCTACAGCCCCTTGGAGTTTGCGCAGGGATGATAGGGAGCTCACTGAAGTGCCGGATGGACGCACGGTTCAGCGCTGTCGAGACCGCTAACCTGCACTTTTCCCGCCACGTACCTCAGCCACGTACCGGTAAGTCGGCGACAAGTCGCAACCACCAAGTCGGCGGTTACACACAGGCGACGATCAGATCTGGGATGCACGCGGACCGCACGTTATGAGGAGGCCTTGGCGCCCAGCAGCAGACGCCTTGAAGCTTCGGCGAACGATCGTGTCCATTGCGCACCCAAGCAGCGCCATCAATGTGCGACGAACTGGTACACGTATCTTTGGGACACCCGCGCGGCTGATGAGTATCTCACGTCGCCATGTTGAGTCCGACGTCGCGGGTGGTGCCACGTCATGTACGCCATCTCCACCGATCTGCGTCGAATAGAAAGGCGTCTCGATCTGCGCTTCAATCAGCTTCAGCCTCAAAAATGGAGATCCTCGTGCAAGGAACAAGCGCACGGACTGTGAGTACTCAAGCGTCAAGAAATAGACCGACTTGGTACGTTGTAGCGTCGACACGATGGACGACAGCCGTGGAATTCTGGTCAAATTCTCTGGGACAAACGGGTTTGTCCCTTCCATCAACAACACATGCTGGTGGCTGCAAGTGGTATATGCCGAAATCAGTGCTACATTCGGCATTGAAGCGTAGAAGGGTGGCACATGCCACTTCAAAGCCACCTGGCGTCATGGCCGCGCGACCGCGAGCGCACCCCGACGTGGCCCTGCCCCGGACGCTCCACGCTGTGAGTCATGCTGCCTGTCTCTGGCGCGGGGCTAATGAGCCGTAGACACACCACGTCCCTATCGGCGCGCGTGTCGTGATCGTGGGCGACGTCCACGGCTGCCTCGACGAGGTGCACCTGCTCCTCGCTGCCTGCGCCTTCGCGCCCGCCCATGACGTGCTCATCTTTGTCGGCGACCTCGTCAACAAAGGGCCGCAGTCAGCCGAAGTCGTCCGGTTTGTGCGCACAACCGGCGCGCTCTGCGTCCGCGGCAACCACGACGACGCCGCTTTGAGCGCCTACTACGGTCGGCGGACCGGAACGCCGGAGACGTCCATCGCCGCCTTTGACACGCGCTACGACTACGTGGCTGACCTCTCGCCGGACGATATTGCGTTTCTCGAGCAGCTCCCGTTCTCGATCGCCCTGCCCGAGCTCGACACGCTGGTGGTGCACGCTGGCGTCGTCCCGAACATCCCGCTCGAGGCGCAAGTGCCCCAAAACCTCTACAAGATGCGGTACCTCATTCCTCCGAGCTCGACTAATGAAGCGTGGGCCGCGTCCGAGGCCAAGCCCGAGACAGGCGGGCTCTGGGCGCCGCAGTACAACGGTCCGCCATTCATTGTCTTTGGCCACGACGCCAAGGCCGGGCTTCAGGTGCCGCATCTCTAGTCGCACGGTCCCTTCAACATGACTAGGAGTGTGCGCATGCTCTCGGGCTCGACACGGGCTGTTGCTATGGCCGCGAGCTCAGCGCGGTGATCCTTCCGGTTCGATACCGCGTCCATCGCCCACTTTCACATATCGACGTTCTAGGAGCGCCGTGTCGTGTCTGTGCCAGCGCTCAAGATGCACTGCGTGCCCAATATTCCTCCGCCAACGCCGCAGTAATCCTTTGCTTGGTCTAGTTGAGTACTTACGCAGCGACGTACACGCGTACCTTGGGCTTGTGCACGCGGACGCCAAAGCAAAAGGCAAAGAGCGAGGCTGTCAAGAGGGCCAGCGTCGCTATTGCAAAGAGCAGCGTCATCTCGTCGGCAGCGGCGCCGAGCGCGTGCAGCTCGCTATGGAGCTCGTTCCAGCGCTGCCGCGTCCATGCTAGACAAAGGGCGTTATCTCGCATCGCAAACACGGATAATACCGCAGTTGCCGGCGTACGAGCAGTCGGCGAGCTTGAACGTCTGAAGCTTCGACGTGTAAAAGCTCACTGCGGACTGGAACGGGTACTGGAGCTTCGCGAGTGCGCTCGTGTTGGCTTGCATCGCCGTCAAATGCGGACGCGCCTCCAGCGCAACGTCAGCGACGCTGTCCATATAGGCGAGGAGCCGGCCGCGCGCGACCTCGAGCTCCCCGCACCATCGCCACTGTTGGAGCAAGTACGAGTTTTGGCGCGTCGATTCATTGTGCGTCAGCGTGGACCAGTTTTGGGCGTAGAGCGAGGCCATGAGCTGGACGTCCGAGGCGTTGAAGACACCATCGCGGTTAGGGTCCGTCGTGAAGGTGGTGACGCGCGTGTCGTTCGACGCCGTATACGGGGACGGCACGGTCGTGTTGCCAAACAAGAGGACGGTCAAGAAGCGGTGGGCGAGCGTGACGTAGCTCTCGTCCCACCCAAAGAGCGACGTGATGCGGCTCGGGTCCGAGCTGTTGAACTAGAGACGTTTGTCAACTATAGTGTCGTGATGGAATAACGCTGACCTGCGTCGCGAGCGCGGCAAAGTCGGGGAAGAAAAACAGTTGCGTCGTATTGTACAGCGGCGGCGGCGCCATGCCCGTGTCGGGCGTCGGCAGTGGCGGCACCTTGACAAGGTCGGCGCACTCCAAGAGCTACGCACCAAAAATGAGAGGACACATATTGTGCAAACCAATTTGAGACCGAGAGCAAGGACCGATTTGCGACCCAGGATTGATCGTGCAGGAGGTTGATGGCGTCTAGCAGTCGGTGGAGCGCAGGGCCTCACGCGCGACAAGGTTACCATTGCGCGACGACGTGTTCTGAAAGAGCTCGGACATGTTGGCTTCAATACGGTCGAGGTACGCGAGGCCATCGCGCGCGCAGAAGGACACGGTCCACAGTATTCCGGTCATCGCAGACGCTACACGAAAATACGATGGCGCACGAGAGCAGCGCTTCTCGTACCGACAAGGGTGCCCAACTGTGCCGTGTAGCTGGCGAGCTTCCCGAGGCGGCCTTTCCGGCGCCAAAAGCCGCGCGTGGCCGCCGCAAGTGCAAGCAAGGCGAGGAGACTCGAGAGCCCGTAGACGATGTAGACGCCGGGCTGAATGAGCATCGTGAGTTGGTTTGTCTAGAAAAAAGTTGATCATCAACCCCCTACCATGTACCAGAGACAAACGAGGGTGGCCAGCATGCGCGCTTGGTGCGTATTGACGCGCTGGACGTCGGCCAGCGTTTGGTTGAGAGAGACCGAGAGGTTCACGAGCGTCGGGAGCAGCGGCAGCTGAGCAAACGTGATGAGGTTGGCATGACTCGCGTACAGTATCCAGTGCACGACCGAGGCGCCGCGCAGCCAGTCGAGCTGGATGCTCTGAATCCTACGCTCACGTCAAGATGCAGAGCGCGTCGTCTGTCCTACGTCTTGCGAATGGCGACGCACTGGTCGCAGCCAAAGCAGCCCGTTGCGCCCCCGATGCCCATGATGCTGCTGGCCGTGCGGTAGATGACCATGCTCGAGCATGCGGGCTGTCCGTATGAGGACGCGATCGGGAAGGGCAGCGCGAGGGCCGCCAAGGGCGCGGTCGTCGACGCAAAGATCTGCGGCATGTCCGTCACGTTCAGCGAGGTGTACAGGGCCATTTGATCCAGTAGCGCGGCTTGGAGCTCCGGAATGCGGGCGCCCGGAAAGCCATCGATGATTGCGCGCAGCGGCGCATTCAACTAGCACATGTTGAGACCCAGAGTCGTGCGACTCTGTTTACGTTGGAGTAGAACGTGAGCGTGTCGGCTGGCAGCGCGTCGGCGACGAGAAACGTAATGTTGGCCGCATGCTGCACGAGGAGCTCGTAGTTGACGTATGACCTTGTGAGGCTGCCGCCTACATGCGTGCGTGAGATACCGCCGAGACGCAAGGATTCGGCGACCAAGGACGACCACGGCGCCGAGCATGAGGAGCATCGTCACGAGCTTCTCGAGGAGCGAGTACGGACGCTTTCGGCAGCGGCAGTAGTTGAGGCACACGTTAAAGAGGTGGCCGAAGACGAAGAGAATACAGAGCCCGGACGCGCCGAGGAGGCCGAGGATGACGAGCTGGAAGGCCATCGCGCGGTACGTAGCGAGGGTCGCGTCCATGTCGGGCGTCGGCGTCGTCGGCAAGAACGTACTACACGGCGAACGACTGAGCGACAGACGCTGCTCGATCAGCTACTTTGTAATGGACGATAAAAAGGACAAGTTGTACACAAGCGGCCGCAGGTCCGGGTACGCGATCGGCATCGCAGACACATTCACCGTGCGCGGGTACACGCCCTATGGCGTCCTTCGTATCCGCCTCGACGCTTTGGAAATCGCTACCGAGTTGGCAATCATCGCCAGGTCGTAGACTAGGCAAATCACTTCAACAATGCAAAAGAGGAAGAATGAAAGTACTCGAGAGCTCGCAGTAGTCGCCACGGAACCCCCACGGCTGCACGCAATTGCACCTACACCACTCGCAGTCGCTCGAGAGGTAGAGAGATAGAACGTACTTGCCCTGGGCGTCGTCTTCCGACAAGGTGCACGTGCCGCCGTTCAAGCAGCAGCGCGCGTCGGCGTCGTGGTTGAGCGGAAACGTTGTCCCGACGAGCGAGCCACTGCGCACACGGCGGGGCCCTGGCGACTACACCAAAGTAGATCTTATTGAAAAAGTACAGGCAAGGCCTACTTCGCCGCGCGTGGGGTCGTAAGGGAACGTGAGCAGGCACTGCGGCTGGGGGTTCACCTTGACGTTGGTGTCCCAGAGCATGACGCGCGCGCCCGTCGCCAGGTACACTTGGTCGCTGCGGACACTCGACGAGCAGCCACCGCAACAAGCAAAGTTGTCGTCCCGCAGCGGCGGCTGCACGACGTAGGCTGCCGATAGCGGCGCCAAGAGAGCCCACGCGCGCATCGATATGAGTAGAAAGGACGCTTCAAAGTTGAAACGGCTAATTAGCTTATGTGCAATCTGAGAGTTATAGATACGAGGAGGAGGAACTAGACTGTTTCTTGTGGGCCCGACAGCGTCTCAAAGAGGCCAAATTGCAGCTGCCGAATGTACGCGTCGATAAACTTGGCCCCGTTCGGGCGGTTGGTCGAGATGGACGGCAGCTTGTCGGGCTGTGGGCACGCGAGCAGAAGCAGCGCGCGGAGCGACTCGCGGTGGACCTCTTGCTTGAAGATCGACACCATCTTCTTGACACCCTGCATGCCCAGCCGATCCTCGGTGGTCGGGTCGTTGACAATGTGGAGGAAGCAGTCCCAGACCGCCTCGCCCATCGTCTTTTGCAGCAGCGTCGGCGTCGTGACCTTGAGCTTCTTGGACGCAGGCTGCGCGTTCGCTTCGGCCTTGGACGAGTACACGGGTGCACCCGGCGGCGCCGTTGCGGCTTCGTAGCTATTGAGCGGCGGGAGGTCGGCCATCGCAATCGACCGCTTGAGCCGGCCCGCCGACGGGTCCGCGGGCTCAAGCTGCAGAAACTCTTCATTGACCTCTTGGCGCACCGCATCTGGGCAGTTGGTGCAGCTGATGATGTGCTTCTTCATTCGCGTGCAGTCGGAGAAGAAGCTGTGGCCGCAGTACTTGCACTTGCAGCGCGTGCGCTTCGGGTTGGTCGAGCCGTCCTCCTGGAAGTACTCCCAGATGTTGTGGCGCTTGCGGCCGACCTTGGTCTTCTCGGCCATCGGCGGCGCCGGTACATGGACCTGCTGCGGGTGCGGGACGTGGAGCTGCGCCGCTTGGGCGTACGTGTTGGCCATCATGGCTATTTCCCCCGTCAGTTTCTCGCCGTGTAAAACGCAAAATCCCCTCGTGTCTTCGTGCGACTGTCCGGATAAGTCTCCGGATACCGTTAGAAACGTGCGAAACGAATTTGAAAATTCAAAAACGGCGTGGGAATTGATTTAAGCTTGGTGTTTGTATGCGCGTGAGGAACTGGATGGATTTGGGGGCCGTGACCACGCACCTTCTTTTCATAGCCGACTTGGAGCGTGCAACAAGGTCTTCTCGAATGACGTGGCACTGCACTACGCTACCCAGCGAGATGCCTCTCAGCTAGAGCCTACACTGGTCATTGTACGGTTTTGTCGGTCGATCCAAGCGGCTCTTCTAATGCTCTACTGGCATCTACAAGAATACCGTTTTATGGTCTTACTTGACGACATACAACATCCAAGATGCCGCAATACCGTTCACAGGTATTCCAAAGCGACATACAATTCTCACCTTGAAGCCAATGCAACGGTGCGTTTTTCTTGGACACGGAATATACACGTGTGAAAAGCAAGATCGCGAATTATCAAGCTGGAAAATCACCTGCGCCCGTCCTGCCAGCGTAGTCGCTTCTGCCCTCGACCGCTCGCGACGAGATCGTTGAGCGCCTATAACAGCAGCGTCATAGCTGATACGTGGTGCTGTAGTGGAGAGGCCGCATTGGCAAGGACAAGTGGCGGGTGCATGGCGTTGCATCCTCGTTGGTGCAGCAGCAGCTGCCGCAGTCGTGTCATATACTGATATTTACCGGTACTAGAAACACCAGCCTCTACGATCAAGATCGAGTTTGCGTTGATCGAGCGCCGTTAACTGTAGTTGACAAGCATCTTCGTGCGGTAATGTTGGGTATGGCAAACCTCTATCTTATTATATCCCAAAACATGCATTTCAAAAGGTTTTCTGGAATCTTATTTGCGATCTTGTGGTGCCAAACGAATGGCCAATCAGATGCCGCGATACACGTATAAAAAACATTGATTTGTATAAAACAGCATACGATAAACAATGTGCTGACGATTCATCTGCGCCATCCATGTTCGACACCCTTCACTCGAGGACGAGCAGCCGCTGCTTCGGCGCTCTTCGTGGCTAGCGCATTACTGTACTCGAGCAAGTTGCGTCTCCGACCTTGCGTCGTCCGATTTGAATCGTCAACAACTCTGCGCATCACTCGCGTTATCATCCCAGCGGATACAAACAGAACTTCAATGTTGAGACCTTTCTTGAAGATGCCGAAAGGTCACTCGCTTCTGTGTTCGCAAACGCACGTCCTTGGACTCCTCGCCATTGTAACATACAGATATACTTCATCCCAATAGCCAGCCAACACGCCTCCCACGCATCGCCTCTCGCTTGCACCCTGCGAGCTTGAGGTTTGCGTTGGCGACACGTATAAAACACAGGTTTAAAACACGACGCACTAAAAAACAGGTCAAGATCCGACCGATTAGGTCAACCTCATTTTGCGATGTGGCGCCTGCCTTCGACGCGCCTCTCGACGCTGGCCCTGCGAGCACCGATCGCGCGCCGCCACATGGCCACGAAGACGCGCATCCTCGTGACGGACCCGATCGACGCGCAGGGCATCGACGCGCTGCGGGCGAAAGGCTACAACGTCGACGTCGGCAGCTTCGCGCCGGCGGAGCTCGTGGCCGCGATCCCGAGCTACCATGGCCTCATCGTGCGCTCCAACACGCGCGTGACCAAGGACGTCATCGAGGCCGGCAAGCAGCTGCGCGTCGTGGCGCGCGCGGGCACAGGCGTCGACAACATCGACCTCGTCGCGGCCACGAAAGCGAGCATCCTCGTCATGAACACGCCGTGCGGCAACACGATCGCGGCGACCGAGCTCACGATGGGCCTCCTCACGTCACTCGCGCAGCAGCACTCGATCTCGGGCGTGCACGGCAAGACGATCGGCCTCATCGGCCTCGGCCGCGTCGGCGAGCAGGTCGCGAAGCGCTGCCTCGCCTTTGGCATGAACGTGCTCGCATACGACCCGCTCCTCTCAGACAAGGCCGCGGCGCGACTGGACATTGAGCCCGCGACGCTCCAAGACGTCTGCGCGCGCAGCGACTTTATCTCGCTCCACTGCCCGCTCACGGCCGGCACGCGAGGCCTCTTGAACAAGGACCGCCTCGCGCGCTGCAAGGACGGCGTCTACATCCTCAACACGTCCCGAAGCGGCCTCATGGACCTCGATGCGGCGCTTGACGGCTTGGAGACCGGAAAGATCCAGGGCCTCGGCCTCGACTTGGTGCCGACGAAGCACCACGCGATTTTCCAGCACCCGAACGTTCTCTGCACGCCGCACATTGGCGCATGCACGAAGGAGGCGCAGGCGCGCGTGTCGCTGGCGGTCTCGACGCAAGTGGACGCTGCGCTGCGCGGCCAAGCGTACACCAACATTGTCAACGCGCCCAACCTCGACTTGAAGCAGCACTGCGTCCGGCCTCCGTACGCACTCCTCGCCGAGAAGCTAGGGAGTCTCCAGGCGCAGCTGCTCGGGACCGAGAAGATTGCGACCGTCCGCGTCACGGCCCACGGCAAAGAGGTGTTTGCGATTCCGCCCAACGTGCTTCGAGCGTCCGTGTGCATGGGTCTGGGCCGCCATTTGCTCGAGCAAGAGGTGACGCCCGAGAACGCGCTGGACATCGTGCACGCCCGTGGCATCTCGACCGACGAGCACGCGCAAGAGGACTTTGTCGAGAAAGACCTGCACTACAACAACGTCGTGACGGTCACATGTCATCTGGATGACGGCTCGACACGGACGGTGACGGGCACAGTGTTTGGCGCCAACCAGCTCCGCCTCGTCCAGTACAACGCGCTGAGCTTGGACGCGATTTTAAGCGGCAGCATGGTCTTCTTCACCAACAACGACAAGCCCGGCGTGCTCCACGCCGTCACGTCGGTCCTTGCCAAGCATCACGTCAACATTGGCTGCTTTGGCCTCGGGCGCACCGACAACCATGCCGTCGGCGTCCTCAACGTCGATGACGCGCCGTCGTCCGAGGTGCTCGACGAACTCGCGCGCATGGAAGAGCTCGGCAACGTCCGGCTCGTCAACCTCCTCGACATGCCGCTCTCGCTCCCCTCGCCGCTCAACGTGCCCGCGATCAAGCCCAAGTCGATGCAGTTTGGCTCCGGCCCGTGCAAGAAGCGCGCTGGCTACAGCCTCGCCGGGTTGCCGACGCGGACGCTCGGCCGGTCGCACCGGTCGACCATTGGCAAGCACGTGCTCGCCGACGCGATCGCCAAGACCCGGGACGTCCTCCAGCTGCCTGACGACTACGTGTGCGGCATCGTGCCGGCGTCCGACACGGGCGCGTTCGAGATGGCCATGTGGAACCTCCTCGGGCCCAAGCCGGTCGCCATGTGCTACTGGGACGCCTTTGGGAAGGGCTGGCACAACGACGCGATCAACGAGCTCAAGCTTGAGAACGTGACGACCTTCTCGGCCCCGTACGGCGAGCTTCCGGACCTGGCGTCCGTGCCTATGGACCACGATGTGTGCTTCACTTGGAACGGCACGACGAGCGGCGTCTGCGTGCCCAACGCCGACTGGATCGCGGACGACCGGACCGGTCTCGTGTTCAACGACGCGACGTCGGCGGCGTTTGCGATGGAGATGCCGTGGCACAAGATCGACGTGTGCACGTTCAGCTGGCAAAAGGTGCTCGGCGGCGAGGGCGGCCACGGCATGCTCGTGCTGAGCCCACGCGCGCTCGAGCGCTTGGCGTCGTTCACGCCGACGAACCGCCCGATGCCCAAGATCTTCCGGCTCAAGAACAGCAAGGGCGAGATTGGCATGGACCTTTTCAAGGGCAGCACGATCAACACGCCCTCGATGCTCTGCGTCGAAGACTACATTGACGCGCTCGACTGGGCCGCGGCCCAAGGTGGCGTCGCCGGCCTCAGCGCCAAGGCCGCCAAGAACCTCGGCGTCATCGAGAAGTTTGTGGAAGATAACGCCGACTGGATCGAGTTCCTCGCCAAGGACAAGGCGACGCGCTCCAAGACGTCCGTGTGTCTCCAGCTGCCCAAGGCGTCCAAAGCGCAGCTCAAGCAGCTCCAGACGATCCTCGAGGCCAACGACGTCGCTGTGGACATTGGCTCGTACAAGGACGCACCGCCGGGCCTCCGCATCTGGTGCGGCGCGACCGTCGAGACCGAAGACCTTGAAGCGCTCATGCCGTGGATCGAGTACGCGTACCACCAAGTCGTTGACGAGCCGAGTGTCGTTTAACCTTAACCGCTTGTTCTCTGTCCTTGGCTCCAGCTTTTACCTAGCATGACAATATGAAGCAGGTTGCGCATTGCTATCAACATCGACTAGGGTTGCGGTGTCGGCTGCGAAGCTCCAGCTGCCTAAATCGGATGAGCCATACAAACTTTTCATCATAATATGATTTTCGCAAAATAATACAACCTCGCGCTCGTATTGGCCACTTTTATTCGACTTTCAGCCAATCCGGTCGCATCACATGCTGGCATCGCCGAAATCAAGGGGCTCGATCGCCCAAATCGAGTCCGATAACAAAATCGCCCACGCTTTGCCTGTCGGTAGCCATTGTTCTATAGAGCTCGAGATGCTATGTCACGCCGCCATTGGCGGTGTACAGCCAGAATTATACGACATTATGTGTTTATTTGTGGCACATGCCATATTCAACCACCAACTGCCATTTTTAACCGTGCAGCCAAAAAACTGGACGATGCGAGGTCAGAACGGTCGCCCGCTACGAGCTCCACGGCTGTGTATGCAGTGCACGGCTGTGGTGACAAAGAGTCGCAATTAACTTGCGTAATATTACGTATCCGAGCGTGGTTGTGCCTTGCTGCAAGGCGATTGGTCCCACGTGGCACTCTGTCGCGTCAAGTCGACGAGGAAAATCGTGTTCGATTTTGGAACTCGGGCATTCGTGGTCCCGACGTCAAGTGACTTTTGCCGCGAATCTTGCGTATGATTTGGTCAAGTGCGAGCTATCCTTCGTCATACAAACCTTCGACGCGACGACAGTCTCTGTCCTTCTCCTTCATTCTGCAACGCACCTCGTTCTCGCAACCTCAACAGCATGCGTTCGATTGCGTTCGTTGCCGCACTTGTCATGCCCATCGCCGCCGTCTCCTTGGCTGCGGCGCCCACGTGCTCGGAGAAGTGGAGTCAGTGCAACGGACAAAACTGGCCGTTCGGCGTCTGCTGCAAGGACCCCACCTTTGTCTGCAACAAGAAGAACGACTATCTCTCGCTCTGTGAGCCCAAGAAGAAGGCGGAAATGGCTGCCGAAGCTGCGGAAATCAACGTCTGGGGCCAGTGTGGCGGCAACGGCTTCAGCGGCAACTACCGTTGCGCAGACGGCAGCTCGTGCATCAAGGTCAACGACGCGTACTCGCAGTGCCAGCCGACGCCGCCGGGCGCCAACGAGATTGCGACGTGGGGCCAGTGCGGCGGCAGCAACAACAACTTCAAGGCCAACGGCAAGACGTGCCGCAGCGTCGACACGTGCAAGGTGCACAACTCGTACTACTCACAGTGCGTCCCCAAGTAGTGTAGTAGAGTGATTCCATCAAGGAGTCTGTCCATTTTGCATATCACCTTTAAGCCATTCACGTATTGTCTAGCACAGTTGTCTGCTAGTTAGTAGAAGGAGTCGTGATCACGGCCAGTGTGTGGTGATGACCTCTTGGTGTGGCTCTGTGTGAGCTGGCAACAACCAACATTCACAGCCTCGGATACCATGCCGCTTTTAATTTAGATTCGGCACGTCGGTGGGCTTCAGTGCCGAATTTACCTCCACCGCAACATGAGCGGCTTGGCAGGCGAGATCCGCGCTGCGACCGAGAGCGAGCAGTTCGACCTCGGCGGCTACACGGAGGCGCGGACGCGGGACCTCGTCGTCGCCGCCTTCGGCGCGGCCTTCGAGATCAGCGAGATGCTGCGCTTCACGTTCGTCGTCGGCGGCGGCAAGCTCGTGCGCTCGCGGTACCCGGAAGAGCTGCCCAAGTGGATGGCCAACGCGCTGCGCGACGTGGGATTTGTCGAGGACCGGTCGGCTGCGTGCACGATGGACTGCCAGGGAATGTTCAAGCAGCAGCACGATACGGGCCAAAACCTCAAGACGATCCTCGTCTTCCCCAAGGTCGTGGCGACGGCGACAGGCGGTAAGACGGCGGCGGCCGCGCCGATCGCGATTCCGTCCGTTGACGAGACGCCTGAGCTGCTTATGCTCTCGTGCGAGGTCGACGACTTTATCAAGACGCTCGTGCCCCTCGAGTTGCCGTCGTGGCGCCAGAAGAAGCGCGCGGTCAAGTTCATCCAAGACGCGATGGCCGAGTTTGCGCTCCTCGAGGCCAAGATGGTGCGTGGCGAGATCCTCGACGCCGCCGAGCAGGCCGCGTACGACGGCAACGCTGGCCAGGAAGCCAACGACGCCAAGATTGCGCATCTCCAGGCCGAGATCAAGCGCATGGTCGATGAGAAGCAGCTCACGGCGTCCGAGAAGAAGGAGCTCGTCGCGACTGTGACGGCCAACGTCGATGCGCTCACCGCCGAGCTCGAGAACTTGAGCATTGCCAAGCAAAAGGAGAAGGCGACGACCAAGCTGCAGGCGCTCGAGAAGCGGCTGGCGCACGTCCAGTCGATCTCGCCCATCACGCACCCGCTGCGGCATGCGGCGCAGGTCCTCGAGCTGCATCTGGCGCTCATTCCGCTGCAGATCCTCCAGGAGAAGGAGCACTCGATGAGCTTGACGCTCGCAGACCTCAAGACGCTCCAGGGCAAGAAGGGCATCGAGGAGGCGCTGTACGACGCCGAGACGGCCAGCATCGAGTACTTTGACGACGACTTTCACGACAAGTGCGACCGCGTTGCCAAGGAGGCCCACGCCAAGTACAAGAAGGCCAAGGGCGGCGCCAAGAAGCCTGCGACCAGCGGCTGGGCCACTGTCCCAAAGAAGAAGCCGACCACGTTCAAGGCGGCGCCGGCCCGCGGCGCTGGGTCCGGTTTTGCCCGTGCGTTTGGCAACGACAGCGATAGCGACTAGCACAACACGCTGTATTGTGTCTATCATTACTTTGTGTTTTCTACCATGTAGCCTTGGTGTATCGTCACCGCAGCGGCTTGAGCGAGAGCGCGATCAAGTCTCCAAGGCCGTAGCTGCGCGCTGAGATGCGCTCGGCCAGCGGCGCGATCGAGGCTTTCGTCTCATTGAGCTTGTAGCCATAGACTGCAAAGACATCGCGGGCCAGCAGCGCGTTGATCCAGAGCTTCGGTACGTCCTCAATGGTCAAGAGGACGTCGTCGGCGAGGAGCACAAAGCCCAGCAGCCACACGAGCGAGTGCGACGCGTGGACGACGCCGTCGATGATGACGTGATCGGTCAGCGGTGCGACGAGCCCGGAGGTTGTCATTTGGTTTCGCCGCACGTGACGCTCGAAGATCGTCGCTTCTGTCGCTTTGGCGTTGCTCTTGAAGATGCGGTTTGCGTCAAAGGCAGCTTTGATGCTGCTCTTGACGAGCATGTACGAGAGATGGCGGCCCGACCGGCCCGACGTCGACCGACCGTCGGTCGAGCCGCCCGAGTGAATTTTAGCGCGGTGGCGGCGCGTGCACCATGCATGGACGGACAAGAGTAGGACGTACGCAGCGGCAATCGCGAGTGCCAGAAGATACCAGACGAGTTGAGCGGCCATGACATCCCAGGAGGTCTTGTAGTTCTCATGGTACGCCCACATGTCCATGCCGCCGTTGGCCACAAGGGTGTTGAGGAGGTAGTTGTGGTAGAGCCAGGCGGACGCCGCCTCGGCTTGCAGAGGCCACGCGGCGATGATTGCATCGCAGAACGTGTAGCAGCCAAAGTAGATGGTCAAAAGGAGAGCAACGTGAAGGCGGAGGCCCAGAAGACTCGCGAGCAGCTGGAAGAGAGCGAGATAAAGGACTTGGAGGTCTGAGCGCACGACAGCCTCCAAGACAAGCTCGCTGTAGCCCCATGACTGACGCGCCGTGCACTTGACCATGCAGTACTCAAAGAGGTGCCACCAGTCGGTCGTGACGCAGATCGCTAGGAGCAGTAAGCTCCGAATCATAATTTCGGCCTGGATGCCAGGGTAGACGTCGGGAATCCACAAAATGTGCTGGGTGCGGTAGATATTGAGCGACGCGATGACGCCGACGATCGTGTTGGCACCGAGGATGAGGCTGATGCCCATATCGAGGATGTAGCGGACCCAGGCCCACGAGTCGACTGTGTAGACAACACTAACCCACTGAATAGTGCTGAGATAGGATATCGGGTTGGCTGGGAGCTGCCACACAAAGTAGTTGTACCGGCCTTGGGTGCGCGGCGAGTACCGGTATGTGCCCGTGCTGCCCGAGATGACCACGGGCTCACCAGTGGCAATGATCACGGCGTTCCACTCCCCCGACCGGCTCGCAGGGTTGAGCAGCCGCACATAGTCGAATGGGTAGTTGGCGTATGGAAACTCCGTGCCGACCATGACGTCGTACGTGGCCTCCTGCGACGAGGTGAGCGCGCCGTCTTGCCAACTCACGGCCGACAAATCCATCGTTGAGATGGTCGCGGTGCCGCACGCCACGCGCCACTGCTTCACAGGGCGCACGATCACCATGGTCTGAATAACGATGGACGTGAGCCGCGAGAATTGACGGTCCAGAACATGAATTTTGAAGGCGGTCGTGTCACCGAGCGTGCGCCCCTGGTAGCTGCAGTCGACGAGCACCCAGTCGGTCGTGAGGTTGATCGAATGCCAGCTCTGATGATCGAGAAGGAGCGGGAGTACCTTGGCGACGTACGTTGGCGTGTAAATGTGGTCGCTGCTCAGTGGCTCGAGACATCCATCGCGGTTGAAGCCGAGGGTCGAGTGGTCGCTTGGATCGGCTGCGTCCAAGTAGAGAAGACTCGCAGATCCTTGTGGCGGTAGCGTCGTCGTCGCGTTCATTGGTAGCGGAGCGTTTGTGACGAGCGCCTGGACAAACGTGAGCATGTACGACTGCGAGTAGCGGTTGCTCGGGTTGAACATCTCCTCCGACACTCCCTTGATGCTGTCTTTGGTCGCAAACGACCCCGTGACGTCAATGAACAAGATGTAAAAGATGGCAGCGAACGCCGCGAGCCGGCTCATCGCAGTGTAGATCGACAGCACCGCACCGTGCATTCTAGGTGTTGAAAAAGCGCTTTCAGTTTTGGGTGTTGAAAAGGCGCTGTCGGTTGTGGGCTTGTTTTGGAAATGGACACGACGGAAATGGCTTTCTGTTGGTTACGTAGACAATTTATAAATTGTCTACGTAACCAACAGAAAGCCATTTCCGTCGAGTCCATTTTATAGCCCCCCACTAGAAACCTAAAATACAACAGGCCCTTCGATACCATGTGAACGCCCTGTCGACACGCACCGCCACCCAATCAGTCTTCCAAACCGTTTGCAGGCGAGATGACGAGAGATAGAAAAGTCAAGTTGAAGTTTATTGTAGGTGATATGCAAAATGGCCAGGCTCCTTGGTGGGGTCATTCTACTACACTACTTGGGGACGCACTGTGAGTAGTACGAGTTGTGCACCTTGCACGTGTCGACGCTGCGGCACGTCTTGCCGTTGGCCTTGAAGTTGTTGTTGCTGCCGCCGCACTGGCCCCACGTCGCAATCTCGTTGGCGCCCGGCGGCGTCGGCTGGCACTGCGAGTACGCGTCGTTGACCTTGATGCACGAGCTGCCATCTGCGCAACGGTAGTTGCCGCTGAAGCCGTTGCCGCCACACTGGCCCCAGACGTTGATTTCCGCAGCTTCGGCAGCCATTTCCGCCTTCTTCTTGGGCTCACAGAGCGAGAGATAGTCGTTCTTCTTGTTGCAGACAAAGGTGGGGTCCTTGCAGCAGACGCCGAACGGCCAGTTTTGTCCGTTGCACTGACTCCACTTCTCCGAGCACGTGGGCGCCGCAGCCAAGGAGACGGCGGCGATGGGCATGACAAGTGCGGCAACGAACGCAATCGAACGCATGCTGTTGAGGTTGCGAGAACGAGGTGTGTTGCAGAATGAAGGAGAAGGACAGAGACTGTCGTCGCGTCGAAGGTTTGTATGACGAAGGATAGCTCGCACTTGACCAAATCATACGCGAGATTCGCGGCAAAAGTCACTTGACGTCGGGACCACGAATGCCCGCGTTCCAAATTCGAACACGATTTTCCTCGTCGACTCGACGCGACAGAGTGCCACGTGTGGCCAATTGCCTTGCAGCAAGGCACAACCACGCTCGGATACGTAATATTACGCAAGTTAATTGCGACTCTTTGTCACCACAGCCGTGCACTGCATACACAGCCGTGGTGCTCGTAGCTGGCGACCGTTCTGATCTCGCATCGTCCAGTTTTTTGGCTGCACGGTTAAAAATGGCAGTTTGTGGTTGGATATGGCATGTGCCACAGATAAACACATAATGTCGTATAATTCTGGCTGTACACCGCTAATGGCGGCTTGACGTAGCATTTCGAGCTCTGTAGACCAATGGCTACCGACAGGCAAAGCGTGGGCGATTTTGTTATCGGACTCGATTTGGGCGATCGAGCCGCTTGATTTCGGCGATGCCAGCATGTGATGCGACCGGATTGGCTGAAAGTCGAATAAAAGTGGCCAATACGAGCGCGAGGTTGTATTATTTTGTCAAAATTAGCTGTTTGGGATGATGGAAGAGCAGTGTAAGTTGCTATCTTGCATCACCAACTAACCTAAATATCGACAGCGTCGTCCAAGGGGTGGAGAACCTCCATGGGAAGGCAGCGCGGCCACTCGACCACACGTCGCCTCTCAACATCTCTCTGCGTCGTGTACAAAAAGTAAGACAAACCGGCCGAGAGCGGTGATTGCCTACCTGAGTGGCGTTGAACAGGACGGGCGGGGCAGCGGGCTGCGGCACGAGCGAGACTCGGGGCCGCATTGCCATCGACTCGCGGCGGGACACGCGTTTCTTCTTGGAGCTCGTGGTCGCGCGATGCGGTGGCTTGGGACGTGCCCCAGGACCCCACACAAAACCGAGGACGTCGAGCTGCGCCTTGCGCTCGGCGGTGAGCACGTGGGACTCTTGGCGCAAGGCAGCGACAACGGCGCCGAGCTTCTCGGTCCAGCAGTCCGGTGTCCACGCCGGGTCCTTGTCCGGCACGTTAAACTCCAGCGGGACTTCGACGTGGTCGTACAAGCGGTGAAACGTGCGAAGGGCCTTGTGCCAGATGCGCCACTGGAGCTCTTCGACGTCCCAGATAAACCCGAGTGCGCTCAACTGGCTTCGCCGCACGACCGACAAGGACGCAGCGTTCACGCGGAGCCGGTGCGCCACACGACCAAGCGCTACGTTGAACAAGTCCTTGGGCCACATGGGGTCGTTTGCCGGCACCTCGAACCCGTGCGGGATCGACACGTCCCCATATAAGTCCTTGTAGCGCTGCAGCGCCATGAGGTGGAGCTGCCACTCGTGCGCGGCCGTGTCCCACACAAAGCGAAGTGCGTCCAAGGACGCGACGGTCGACGCAAGGAGGAGCCCGTCGCGGTGGGCGTGGCGAAACGCGCCAACGTCAACCAGCGTGCCCCAGAACGGTTGCGGCCACGGCGCGTGGGCCGGGACGGTAAACGTACTGGGCAGCGTCGTGTGGTCCGAGACGTGCTGCTGCTCGTTGGTCGCGAGCACGACGAGGCCCACAAAGATCTGCTGTCGCTCGGCGGCCGTCGCAGCCCGAATGCGAGAGAGGGTCGACGGCGGCGGCTGCTCGGGGCGGGAAATATTGAAGCGCGCGACGGGCACCGGGGTGTCGACGCGCTTGCGCTGCGTTCTGCGCTTGTCCTTTTCTTGCAGCGCAAGTCGCCGCTCTTGCTCGACGAAACGTTGCTGCCGGTCGACGTGACGCCTGCTCTTGGGGCGCGGTGTCGGCGGCGGAGATGCAACCGGCGGCGGCGGTGACAGAGGTCTTGGCCGTGGTCGTTCGACTGACACTGTGTCACGCCGGGCCTGACGCTGCGGTGACCGGGCATGACGCGGCGGTGACAGAGCATGACGCGGCGGTGACAGAGCATGACGCGGCGGTGACGTGGTCGGACGCTGTGGTGGCCGGCCGCCTGGTTTTCGAAGGCGCTTACGGCGTTGGCGGTGGCGACTACTGCTTGCAGACGATGATGACGACGACGCGTCACTGGCTTCATCGACGACAAAGCCACGGAGCGACAACGATCGGGGCTGGCTGTAGATGGGTGCCTGCACTTGCGCATCAAACTCTTCTTCGGACGATGAAATGAGATCGATAATGTCGGGTGTCGCCGTCGTTCCGGACGCTCGTGGCGGTGACGCGCGCGTCTCGGCGGCATGGACTTCCCGTGGCCGCTTCCGTCGTCGCACGGGCGAGGACGGGACGCTACGCTCGGGTGACGACGATGATCGTCGGCGCTGGCTTCGGCGGCCAACGACCGGCGACCGACTGCGGTCGCTTCGTGCGGCCATCATCCGACGACTTGCATCTCGGGCAACGGGCGACGGCGACCGACTGCGGACGTTCTGCGGTCGACGACGACCGTGTCGACGTGCGGGCGACCGGTACTCATCCTCGGACGACGGCTCTTCCCGAGGCACGGGTCGGTTGCTTCTGTTGCGGTCAAACACGCGGGTGTAGGTCTGGGGCGTCGGTGCTGAACGCTGTACGACAACGCGGCGCGGCGCCTCGACCTCGGGCGACAGGAGGTCGTTCATGTTGAAGTCCAGGTCTTGAATGTGCGAGGGGTTGGCGACCTCGAGTGTCGCCTCAATCGAAACGTGCCCGATCGCAGCTTCGAGCGCCTCTTGCCGAGCCAGGATTGAAATCACTGACGCAATGTCGTCACCGAGCTCGGGCAGCGGCGGCTCCTCGTCGACATCGGGCGTCGCTTCCGCGTCGACGGCCGCGACATGCGCCAGCTCGACGTCGTCCTGGTAGAGCTGCGGCATGGCAAAGGTGTCCGGGTCGTAGCCGTCGTCGTTCAGCTGGAGCGTCGGCGCAACGTCGAGCATGGGATCGTCCAGCGTTGCGGCAGTCGGCTCTGAGTGGGTGGGCACATCGTCCAGCGGCAGTGGCTCGGGTAAGAACATGTAAAACGGGATTGGCGCTGCAGCGTCCAGGTCTGGTGGCGGCGGAATCGCAGCAAAGATCGCGACGTCGGTGCACGGAGGCGTCGGCAGCACATGTGCTATGCTCTCCTCGTGTACTGGCCTTGCGCAAAGTGAGGTCGTAAGCACAGGCAATGCCAATGGCGTTGCATCCATGAAAGCGTCGGCAGTGACGGTTGGTGGCGTCGGGCTCACAGACGGCGGCGGCGCCACCGTGTTGAAGGTCGTCAGTGGGCTGGACGGGCGCGTCGGACTTGGCGGGCGCGTGTGCGCTGACGCCGTCGTAGGTAAGACCGATGGTGCACTGGCAGCTTGCGTGGACGGCGGCTCTCTGCGCGGCATGGCGAACCGAATGGGACGACTCACGACGGGCACAGCTAGCACCCGCTTCTTGGTCGCCGCAGCCACTGTCGTCGGGACAGCAGCCAAGCGCGGCTTGGTCGCGACGACCGCCATCGCTGCAGGCTTCTGCGACGGCCGCGTTGTCGCAAGCGGCGTCATGGTCGGTGCTCTTGCAGTCGCGGATCCCGTCCGCGGCCGTTGCGGCGGCGAGATCGCCCGCCGTGAGTCCACGCGCGCTGCCATCATGGGCGCGAGACGCGCATCCTCGTCCTCGTCCTCATCATCCGACGAGAGGATCTCAATGACTTCGCACGTCATGGGCGCCGGCGGACGGTGGGCTCGTGCGCTCGGCCCGCGCATCGCTGGCCCAAGCTGATTCCCGAAAATGCGTCGAAGTTCGAAGTCCAGATCGAAGCTCCGATCGTAGCTTCGATGCAATTTGCGATCACTGCCGATGGTGTCATGGCCAAGTCGTCCTTACGAACGCAGAAATAACTATATTACTTTATCGCAACAGCGATTCGGTGAATGCGCTCCATGAGCGAGAGTCGGGTCTTTGTCTGTGCGTTTTGCGTCTCGAGCATGAGGTCGCGGAAGAAGGCGGCGGCGCGGTCCGGCGTCGCTCGCAAAATCAGTCGCTTCTCCACCTACCCTTCTCCATCAGTGTTCTGACCACGCTAGGCCGAGACACAGCTGACCTCGTGAACCGCCGACGCTGCGTGCATGCTCATGTGCGTCATCATGTCGGGAATACCCGCGTCTTTGGAGAGCTCGAGGACGCCGAGGAGGACGTGGGCGTTGGCGCGCAGAATGTTGAAGCCCGTGCACGCGTAGCGCAGACACTGGTGAAAGTCCTAACCCTCCAACGCATGAGATTATAACACACGAGTGACGTACGTGGCCGCGGAGACCGCCCATGGCGCGGACCATTTCGGGGGTGAGGCGGAAGGGCGGGGGAAGCGGCTTCGGGTCGCGTCCAAACATAAAGCCAAAGTCAATGTGAAAGAAATGGCCCGACTCTGTGAGCATGAGGTTGTCCAAGTGCCGGTCGCCGACGCCGAGAAGGTACGTTGCGACGCAGTAGCCCGCGACGCTGCGCACGAACGTGTCGATCGCGACAGGCGAGATCCCGTCGTCTTGGTCGTAGTTGTGCTTCTCCAAATACGTCAAAATGTTGTGGTTGTGGTCGCTCAAGACCGCCGAGAGCGGCTGCGACCGCGGGACAAACTCGGCCAAACCCTAACCCCTGCACTATGGCCATGTGCTGTACCAAAATCTACAGCCTACATCGCGAGTACTCGTTGGCAAGATGCGGTAGAGGGTGAAACAGAGGTCGAGGCCGTCGCGCTTGAGAAGGGCGTCCATGATTGCGAGCAGCTGCAGTGCGAGCTGGTCCTGCCGCAAGTCGTCGCCGAGCTAATATACAGTGTAGCTAATATATCAAGGCGAAAGAACGCCGAGACAAACCTTGTAAATGACACTGAGCGAGACGCTGGGGCGCCGAGGCGCGTCGTCGACAGAAATGGCGGCCGGGTGCAGCGCCCCAATGGTCGGTGGCGACGTCACGTTCTGAACTTCGACGACGACAGCGACATCGAGGGCGCCTCCGCCATCCACATTCACAACGCTGCGCTCCAAGCCGCGGGATGAGAGCTCGAGTTCGACTGCACCAAGATAGGCGCCGTGCCGGTACACTTGGCAGTCGACGAGCTGCGGGGGCACGCCGACGTGAAAGTCGAGCCGCGCCACCGCCGCCGTCACCTCAACTTGCTTGCGCTTTCCATGAACGTCGACGCGGAGCGTGAGGTTATCTGCGTCGAACCCCAGGACGCCATAGACAAAGACGTCCACCGAGTACGTGTGCCACTGGTTTGGTAGCCGGGACTTGGACCGTTCGAAGAGCGACCGCTGCGTCTGTAGCGATCGCGACGAACTCGCGAGCGTAAACTGCAGTTTCATGGGCTTGGCTGAGCTCCGGAAGAGACGACTCTTGGCGCTATCTACACTCTGCACGGTGGCCAGCGGAAACAGCGGGTGGGGGCCCGGCAACGCAAGAGGGGGTAGGCCCTGCAGCGCAGACGTCGTTGGCGACGCGAGGTATGTCTGCAGCTCTGTCGAGAGACTTTTGACGTCCGAGGACGGCAGCGCCACGAGGGCAGCGTACAAAGCAGTGATGTGCTTGGTGCAGGCCACTTGCCCATAGACTATCGCGTCTAGTCAGGTAGGAATAAGATCGGAGTGCGATTTCCGGGCATGTACGATGATCAGGCGATGCCTCGAGCATGGCATTGAGGTGCTCAAAGACGCGTTCGTAGAGCGATTTGGTCGCCCGGTCCTGGATAGCGATCTCCTGGTTGGCGACGACGACGCTTATTTGGTTTTCGAGCTCGATGCGCACGTGCCAGTAGCAGTCGAGTGCGATCTCAATGTGGTCCCTCGCCATGTTCAAGAGAACACTCAAAAGCGCGCAGAGGTCCGCGCCTTCTCGGAGGTCGACGTCGTGCTTGAGCGCTTGTAATAGCTGCGGCAGGTACAGTCGAAGCACCGACGGGTCGTGACTCCCCAGTGCCGTGGCCGCGTACCGCCGGATCTTGCGGTGGCAAACACGGTCGGTCAAGAGCCAGAGGATCGTCCCCATCTCCAACGCGCCATCGACGTCGGGGTCGTGCGTATCGAGAAGCACTTCGGCGGCTTCGACCTGCGCGACGTCGTCCCACGCGACCCGCAGCAGCCGGGCGTTGATGCCGTCGTCATCGAGGTAAATGAAAGGTTGCTGGCGGCGCCGGCGACGCAGGCGGTGGATCGCAATGATTTTGGGAAAGGCTAGGACAAAAGTCACCATGGCCGAGGGCAGGAGGAAGAGGAAGACGAGGCAGAGGTACAGCACCTCCCCAAAGGCGCGAGTCGAGGTCGCGAAGACCGCCATGCCAATGGCCCAGAGCACCGTGGTCAAGAGCATCGCGAACGCAAGCTTGGTCATGTCCTTCTCTTCGTGGACGTTCCGACGCAGGCGGAGAGCAAAGGCCAACACGAGCAGCAAGTAGAGTACTTTGGGTGACACGATCGCAATGCCCGCGGGCGTCGAGCTCAAATAGCAGCCCATGAAGCGGTAGTCGACGTCGCCGGGGTAATCCCATAAGGCTAGCGTCGGGTTGAAGCCGCCGAGCACACCAATGGCGGCGAGGATGCCGCCGTCGAGCGCGAGCAGCACGAGCAGCATGCCAGCCATCCAGGCGTCCGGGAGCTTGACGCCAGGTCCGTTCGTCGACGCGAGGTAGAGGCGAACGTTGCGGTACAGGCGCAGCGCGAGCATACCAAAGACGAGGACGAAGGCGAGGTCCATGCAGCACCAGAGTACGGTGCACGTATGCGAGCTGCTGTCGAGGCTCACGGCCACCGCTACCGACGCGGCACCAAGGACCGAGCCGACGTTCATAATGTGGCCTTGCCACGCGTGCGTCATGAACGCCTCGTTGCTGTAGTAGAGGTACACGAGCGAGCTCGTGTAGGCGACGATGGCGACGACGCACGCGGCCAGCATCACAAAGAGGTGCACGCTTGAGTTGAGCGACATGAGCCCTAGGCGCAATCCCCGCATGAGCCAATAGACGTTGAACAAGGTGCGTACCAATCTCACATGTGCCATTGACGTCCACGGAGCTGGCCCAGCCGTCGGCGCAGATGCAGACGCCGTCTGCGCAGTAGCCGTGGTTGCTGCACACGAGCTTGTTGCGGCCGAGCGGACAGCTGCAGCCAGCGACGCAAGCGGCGACGCACGCATTGTCAGTCGCGGCGAACGCGGTGGCAGCGGCCAGCAGCGCGAGGATGAGCTCCCGGCGCATGCTCCGAGTGTGGACGGCGTGCGGGTTGTAGACAGAGTGTTGGTCGGTCTGAGTCTCAACTCAATTCCTATGATGCTCAATTTCAAGGGCGTTGTCTTGGAGTTGTTGGGTGCTTTTGAGTTTTCCAGTGCAACAGGGCGATTTTGAGTTTCGTCCAGTTGCGTGCGTGTAGCCAAATCGGAAGCATCCGCGCCAGTGATACATTGCCATGGCCGCGCGAGGCTTCCGGAGCGTCTTCAAGACGACGTCGGCCATCAACTGGTTCCCGGGGCACATGAACTCGGCCAAGAACAGCATGAAGGCGCAGCTTGGCAGCATCGACGTCATCATCGAGGTCCGCGACGCACGCATCCCGTTCTCGTCGGCCAACCCGCTGCTCGATGGCATCGGCAACCACAAGCCGCGCCTCGTCGTGCTCAACAAGTCGGACTTGGCCAACTCGAATATGAAGGCGCGTGTGGAGGCGCGCTTCGAGGAGGCCGACATGGACTGTCTCTTCACGTCCGTCATCAAGGGCAAGCACATCCAGCACATCCTCAAGTGGTGCAACACGCATGGCAAGTCGCAGTTCCAGAGCACAGCGGGCACCGTCGTCATGATCGTCGGTGTGCCCAACGTCGGCAAGTCGTCCATGATCAACGCCTTTCGCAGCATCTCGTCGTCGCTCAAGCTCTCGAAGGGAAAGAAGAAGGCAACCGTTGGCGCGACGCCAGGCGTGACTGTGCGCACCGACATCTTCAAGGTCAACGAGGCGCCGGCCATCTACGTCATGGACACGCCGGGCGTTATGCTGCCCAACATCCCGAGCCCCGACGTCGGCCTCAAGCTCGCACTCACGGGCGCTATCAAGGACGACATTGTTGGCGCCGAGCTCATCGCCGACTACATGCTCTTCACGCTCAACCGCATGGGCTCGACGCAGTACGTCAAGGCGCTTGGGTTGCCCGCGGCCACCGACGACATTGAAGAAGTGTTTACAGCCGTTGTGCGCGCGAGCGGCGGCGTCGGCAAGCCCGAAGACACCCAGCGCCAGCTCGCCGCCGCCTACTTGCTCAGGGAGTTTCGGCGAGGCGCATTTGGCACGTTCACGCTCGACCCGATCTAACTATCGAATATTATCCTTGCTATTCTACCGCACCATCGCATGCGGAGATAGATGCTTGCAGTGCTCGCCCTGCCGAGACTCTTGGGGGCAAGCTCGACGTTGCGCAAGCGGCGAAGCCGGTCGAACCCAGCTGCCTGCGACGGTGCTTCACCCATGTTCGGTGGGCGTGGTGTGCTCTCCAGGACATGAAGAGCGGCTTTGGTCGCTGCTACGAGCCTGGCAGGAGCAGTCTGCGATGCATCGGGACGGCTACTTGGTACGGAGCAGTGGACGTCGAGGGTCGGCGGCTATCGCTGAGAAAGGCCGGCAAACTTGTGATTGTCCACCTTGCCGCCGTCGGATTGGCTGGATTTTGGCCAATCAGCGTGGCGCGACCGGGCTTTGGCAACGCCTCGCCCGTGATTGGTCAAAAGTCTGGCAGGCAATCCACATCGACGCCACTTTAGGATTGACCAATGCTGCTGCAGTACCAGCGGGCCGCGCACCGAGCGCTGACGGGCCGACGCCTCGCTCTTCGCCCGCGCCTCCATGGCGCATGGGCCCACGCCGCCGGCCTCGCGACCGACGCCAAGTCCAAGGAGCAAAAGCCGGTGACGTCCAAGGAGATTGTCACGTCGCTCGCCGGGTACCTCTGGCCGGAGGGCAACGGCGCCGAGGCCCGCGCCGTCAAGGGCCGCGTCGCGCTCTCGCTTGGCCTGCTCGTGTCGGCCAAGCTTATCAACATCCAGGTGCCATTCCTCTTCAAGGAGCTTGTCGACGTCATGGGCACGACGACGCCCGAAGTCGCTGCGGCGCTGCCCGTGAGTCTCGTGCTCGGCTATGGCCTCGGCCGCTTCTCGGCCAACGCCTTCCAGGAGCTGCGCAATGCGATCTTTGCCAAGGTTGCGCAAGGCACGATCCGCCAAGTCGCACGCAACGTCTTTGAGCACCTCCACGGCCTCGACCTCAAGTTCCACCTCGACCGCCAGACAGGCGCCTTGTCGCGGACGATCGACCGCGGGTCGCGCTCGATCGACTTTGTGTTGCGCTCGATGCTCTTCAACGTCGCGCCGACCGCGCTCGAGATTGGTCTTGTGAGCAGCATCATGGCCTACCAGTTTGGCTGGGAGTACGCGGCCGTGACGCTCGGCACGCTCACGGCCTACACGGGCTTTACCGTCGGCGTGACGCAGTGGCGCACCGAGATCCGCCGGCGCATGAACAAGCTCGAGAACGAGGCGGGCGGCAAGGTCATCGACTCGCTCATGAACTACGAGACGGTCAAGTACTTCAACAACGAAAAGCACGAAGCCGACCGGTACGACGTCGTCTTGCGCAACTACCAGGATGCGTCGCTCAAGACGCAGACATCGCTCTCGTTCCTCAACGCCGGCCAGAACGCCATCTTCTCGGCCGGTCTCACCGGTATCATGTACATGGCGGCGCAAGGGATCGTCGACGGCACGCTCACGGTCGGCGACCTCGTGCTCGTGAACGGCCTCCTCTTTCAGCTCTCGATCCCGCTCAACTTTATCGGCTCCGTGTACCGCGAAGTGCGCCAGGCCGTCATCGACATGGAGGCCATGTTTGCCCTCCGCGCGGTCCAGCCCAAGATCCTCCCGGGGGCGTCGACGTTCGAGAACCTCACAACCCCCAAGGAAATCATTTTTGAAAATGTCCACTTTGCGTACCGCGAGGACCGGCCGATTCTGAACGGCACGTCGTTTGGCGTCACGGCCGGCAAGACGACCGCGATCGTCGGCTCGAGCGGCTCGGGCAAGTCGACGATCCTCCGCCTCTTGTACCGCTTCTACGATGTGCAGAGCGGGACCATCCGCATTGACGGCCACGACATCCGCGAGATGGACATGGACGGGCTCCGGCGCGCGATCGCAGTCGTGCCCCAGGACACGGTGCTCTTCAACGAGAGCATTTACTACAACATTCACTACGGCAACTTGAAGGCGACGAAAGAGCAAGTGATCCAAGCGGCCAAGGTCGCGCAGATTCACGACGCGATCGAGCGCTTTCCCGAAGGCTACGAAACCAAGGTCGGCGAGCGCGGCTTGAAGCTCAGCGGCGGCGAGAAGCAGCGTGTTGCGATCGCGCGGGCGATGCTCAAGGACGCGCCGATCTTGCTGTTTGACGAGGCCACGAGCGCGCTCGACTCGGAGACCGAGTTCGAGATTGTGCGCGAGTTCAAGGCCATTGGTCTCAACAAGACGACGGTCATCATTGCGCACCGCCTCTCGACGATCCAAGACTCGGACGAGATTCTCGTCATGGACGCCGGCCGCGTTGTCGAGCGCGGGACCCACGTCGAGCTCCTCGCCAAGGAAGGCAAGTACTCGGAGATGTGGCACCGCCAGCAGCAAGGCCACACGACGCTGTAAAGGTTGTAGATATTAACCAATATAGAGCTATGTACACGTCATAACGAGGCAACATCATCGATCGTCGTAGTACGGCGAGCTCAAACTGCAATCAGATCTTACTAGTAGTCGCGTTGGCGCTCGCTTTCTTGTGATTGGTGCAGACGTGGCCAAACACCAAGGTGCAATGTGAGAGCCAATGAAAAGCGGCGACCGCCAATGGCAGAGACCATGGCGGCGTGGACGATCGTCGAGGTCGAGGACCCGACGAGCGTGCACTCGTTCGACGAGAGGGCGGCGTTCCATGCGGTCGAGTTCCCGGCGCAGCACGGCAGCACGGTCATGAAGCTGCTCGCCACGGCGGCGATGAACCTCAAGGACATGGGCTACGGGCACCTCAAGCGCATGAAGAAGGCGGCGGCGCCTGGCCGGCTGCTTGCACTCGTGTCGCCCGACGCCATCGTCGTCGACACGATCGTTGCCGCGCTTCCGACCATCCACGACCTTGTGACCGTCAGCGTCGACGTCCCAAAGTACGCGGCGACGACCAAGGACGAGTTTGCTGTCGGCAACGCGGTGTGGCCCATGGTCTTCCACCCCAACGTTGACGTCACCTCGATACCGCTCACGGACGATGAAGTGCACCAAATGCAATCGTTTGTCGAGCGCGTCTATGAGGACGCCACAGACGCGCCATCCACCCTCGCCAACGGCTGCGGCCGCGAACACTGTGTCGTTGTCAACCCGTTGACCAACACGGTGGTGGCGTCGGCAGCGGACTGGACGCCTGTGGGCTGCAACCCGCTCATGGAGCACGCACCAATGCAGGCACTCGAGGTCGTATCGACCCAGGACGTCGCCCGCGACCAGAGCCAAACCGCGACCGAGTCGTACTTGTGCACGGGGTACGATGTCTATGTGGCCGTCGAGCCGTGCGTCATGTGTGCGATGGCGCTCGTCCACAGCCGCGTCCGGCGCGTCATCTACTTGAAGAAGAACGATGCGAGCGGCGCGCTGGGCTCCAACTACTATCTGCACACGAAGCGGTCGCTCAACCACCGGTACCGCGTCTTTCACGCGTGCCAGGCGTAGCACCGGTCGTTGTCCTAGTGTATAGAACTCTCTTCGTGTAGTCATCGCCAATAAGGAATGATAGCCAATGCATACCCGAGTGCTCGCTCTTTCCTTGAATTTGGCGTCGTCGAAGTCTAGTAACTAACTCCAGGGGATGTATGATGCAGTAATTGCTACCTATGAGTGCAGAAAATACAAAGAAAAGGTTTTTACATGTACACACAAGTTTAAAAGAAAGGACTAGGCGCTCTACATGATGACGTATTAGCGGTGCGCACCAGTCGGCGACGACGCGCGCTGCCCGAGCACTTCGTCGCGCATGCTCTCGAGAAGCGGCACAATCTGGTTGAACGCTGGTCGCGCATCTTGCTTGCGATTCCAGCAGTCGCGGAGGAGGTTCACGAGGCACGGTGGCGCGCTCTCGGGCGGTATCGGGCGCAGGTTGCCACACGCGACGCCTGGTCCGCATCAATGTGGACACCTTGTCCAGCTTAAGGAAGAATACCTTTCATGACCTCGCTCGAGCCCATGGCCGGGTACGGCTCGGACCACGCGAGCACCTCCCAGACGATGATCGAGAAGCTGTACACGTCGCAGGGCGTGCCATACTTTTCGCCGCGGAGGACCTCGGGCGCGACCCAGAGCGGACTGCCGCAGATCGACATGGTTTTGCCGACTTCGCGGAATTTCGACAAGCCAAAGTCGGCAATCTTGGTGCGCATTTTCTCATCCAGCAGGATGTTTTGCGACTTGAGGTCGCTACAAATGCTCCTTGTGGCTCTGAAATACATGTACAATCGCTCACCGATGGATAACAACAGGGTTGTGGTTGTGCAAGTACGCCAGACCGCGCGCCATATCGAGCGCAATGTTGTAGCTGAGGTGCCGGAGCGTCTCGGGTGGCGGCGTCTCGTGCTTGTGGTAATAGTCAAAGAAGCTGCCATTGACGAGGAGCTCTGTCACGAGAAGCAGGTTCGGGGGGTTGGAGCACGACCCCATAAAGAGAACAATGTTGGGGTGGTGCAACCCCTTCATGATCGAGCACTCCTTGTGAAACTCGGCGAGCGTATTTTTCGGCACAGCGCCAATCGGGAGCTTCTTGATCGCGACGGGCGTTCCAAAGTAAGTGCCCGAGTAAACGACGCCAAAGACGCCTTTGCCGATCGCGTCACCGAGAATCACGTCCTTCTCCGTGATCAAAAAGCCATCTTCCGGCTCTTGTACGTTGTTTGCGACGAGCTTGCGGTCCGGGAAGAGGATGTGGTCTTCCCACGCCTCGTCCCCGATGTACCCGATGAGCACTTGCTGGAGGACGCCAATGATCGTCGTGAACGTCGGGCGGTTGCTCGGCAGTGTGTCCCAGCATTTCGTCATGAGCGGCGCCATGGTCTGCAGCGCAACGTGGTCGATCGGTGTCAACGGCGCAAAGTCTGTCGGGCGCTTCCCCGACTGCACGATGAAGGGCACGGCGTCCGGCGAGACGCTCTCAAACGGACTCGCGCCGCTCATGGCCTCATACAAGATGATGCCAAAGCTGTACACGTCGCTCATCTCTGTGTGCTCTTCGCCGTTGAAGACCTCGGGCGCGATCCACATGGACGTGCCGACGTACGACCGACTCGTTGCCGACGCCGTGAAGCTGTCGTCGCGCATCTCCTTGAGCTTGCTAAGGCCAAAGTCCGACACTTTGCAGCGCCAGTCGGCGTCAATCAGCAGGTTGATCGACTTGAGGTCCCGATGGATGAGCGGCGGCGACGACGAGTGGAGAAAGTTCATGCCCCGCGCCGAATCCAAGAGCATGCGCAGCAAGAGCGACCAGTCGATCTTGAGCTCGTCTGAGTGGATGACGCCGTAGACACTGCCTTTCGGGCAGAGCTCCATGACCAGCCCGACGTATTCAGGGTGCAGCATGACGCCCATAAACATGACAACGTTCGGGTGGCGCAGCTGGGCCATGACGCTCGCTTCGGCACCAAAGTTGGTCACGATGGTCTGCGTGTCGCCGCGCAGCGTGATCTTCTTGACGGCCACGTTGGTCTCCTTCCAGCGCGCCGCGTAGACGCTGCCAAAGGTGCCGGACCCGAGCTCGGTGCCAATGACGACATCCTTGGGGTCAATGTGGCAGTTGGAGTTGAGAATGCCTTGGTTCTGGCCTTCGTTGGAGACGGCGACGCCGCCGCTGAACCAGCCAGTCATCTCCATCGTCATCTGGATCTGGACATTCTCCTTGGCCAAGCGCTCGGTCAAGACAAAGTCGCGCCGCTCTTCGTACTCCCAGTTCCACGAGAGAAACCCGAGGAGGATCGAGTAGAGCACGATGGCCACGTTGCACGTACCCGGCGTACTCATCGTCGTGACGTCGACGAGCGCCGTGTCATTGATGTCGATCGCGTACCGGACCCACGCGAGAAGCAGAAACGTGATGCCGCTCGCGGTCATGATGAACATGGTCTCGAGGAAGCTCATGCCCGTCGACGACGTGATGCCGAGCGAGAAGAGAAATTGCACCCACACGTTCTTCTCGCTCACGTTGGTGCCCGCGGCCGTCGTATCGAGGAGCGCGCAGATCTGCGCGACGAGGCAGATGAGCATGAGCATGATCGGGTGGTCTTGGAACTGCTGAAAGAAGATCGAGACCGAGAACCCGCAGCAGCCGACGATGCAAGGGAAGATGATGACCTTGGGAAACTCTTCCCACTGGTTGGTGTCGTTCTTCTTCAAAAGCACTTGCATGATGACGAGGAGCGGGATGAAGAAGGCCGTGATATTGGCGCCGAAGCGCAAGCGGCGCCGGTACTTGCGCTGGCGCGACTTGCGGAAGCGCGCCTCGAGCTCGACGTCGGAGAACTGAAGCGACATGAAGGACATTTCAAACTCTTCGGTCGACCGCTTGACGTTGCTGTTGCGGAAGAACTTGCCGACGGTCTTGGTCGGGCTCAGCGACGGCATCTTGAGCGGCGAGGTCTCCATGTCTTCGGCATTCGGCGTCACCTTGGGCATCGGGCGCTTCCCTGTCGCCATCAGCTAGATCGAAGCTCCACGGACTGCGAATGCAACAATGGCGCCAACCGCCGTGCCACCTATTTCAGGCGCCTTTCTTGTAACCGGTGGCACCATCTTAGGTCGCGTGTTTCTAAACCATCGCTGCCGTAGGACCCAACGTTATGGCTTATCGTTCGAGTAGAGAGACACGCTTCTGACGCAGCCCAGGACGCCGCGAAGCAAGATCAAGTAGATCTTGGTTGTTATCAAGCGGAGGGTACGTATCGCAATGATCTGGACGAGCATATAGATCGGCTGCGAGCGAGATGGGCTCGGTGGCAAGAGATGACCAAGCGGCTCTACGAGCTTTAACACTTGGCTGAACCGTGCCGATCGCGGGTGCAGCTTGTAACATGCTCACATTGTGACATTGAAGGGACTGAAGATGGCGGGATGGCGGTCGAAACGACATTTCTACACACTATAAAATCGCGTATCACGCTCGATTGCATTTAAATAGTGTGAAGAGCCTTGTTCTTCGAGCACGCAAACCGATTGGCGGATTCGTGCAATAATGCGACCAATCCAAACACTTTGTCGATGCCATTGGCCAAAAAGACGACGAAGAAAAAGTGCGGTGCAAGATCGCAATCTCCGAATGGGCCGCCCGCGGAAGCTCAAGCGCCACGTGCTCCTGCTGCTGAGCCTCCTCGTCTTTGGCAGCACGTACTGCTACGACAACCCGGGCGCGCTCAAGAGCCAGCTGCAGCAGCGCTTCCATGCGATTCCCAAGGCCCAGTACGAGGTGCTCTTTGTATCCTTTTTGCCATCTTCCTCGACGATCGATTGCATGCTATGGCCTTACATCATCCTCGCCAGAACCTCTCGTACAGTCTCTACTCGGTGCCCAATGTCATCTTGCCCTTCTTTGGCGGCCTCCTCGTCGACAAGTATGGCGTGCGTGCCATGACGCTCGGCCTCTCGACCATCGTGCTCCTCGGCCAAGTTGTCGTCGCGCTAGGCTGCACCTTCAAGAACTTTTACGTCATCCTCGTAGCTGCGTATGCTACGATTCGTCTTATGCACAGGAGCGTAGGCGGGCCGCGTCATCTTTGGCCTCGGCGGCGAGACCATGTGGGTGGCCCAAAGCACCTTTATGACACAATGGTTTGACAGCACCGAGCTCGGTGCGTCATTGCATCTTGTATTTGGAGAGTATGACACCCGTCTCCAGCGTTTGCGTTCGGTGTCAACACGTGCATTGCGCGCATGGGCACAGTCCTCAACGACAAGCTCAGCCCGGTCATCGCCGACGAGTACAGCGTCTCGGCCGCGCTCTGGGTCGGCGTTGTTCTCTGCGTCGCATCACTCCTCTGCAACGTCCTCCTCGCCCACATCGACCGGCGTGCCGAGGCCGTCCACGGGTCGCTCGTTGCCAAGCTCGACGACGTCGACGCGGCGCCGCCCCGCTTGAGCGACATTCGCCGCTTCAGGTACGCAACCTCAAACAACATGTCTCATCTTGCTATCCGTTAGCTGGTCATTCTGGGTCATTGCGGTCAAATATGTGGTTTTCTACTCGTGCATTGGCCCCTTCAACAACGTAGCAAGCTCGCTCTTCATGGAGCGCGAGTACTTCAAGACTCCAACGTCACCCGACTGCCAGCGCTGCGGCCTCGGCGCCTACGAGCTCTACTGCGACGCGATCGCACCGTCGTGTCCGCCGGTGCCGCCGTTTGCATGGCCGCTGCCACAGCTCTCGGCCAACTGCTCGATCGAGACAGCGGCCGACCAGTACCGCTGCAGCAAAGAGCCGCCGTACATCCAAGACGAAGGTATCAACTGTGACGACAGCGCGTGGCGCAACGGCCAGTTCACGGCCATGTACTGCGCCAAGAAGAGCGCGGCGGCCGAGACCGCGGCGTCGACCATGAGCATCGCGCCGCTCATCATTGCGTTTCTTGCGCCGCTCTGCGGCAGCCTCATCGACGCGATCGGCTTGCGTCCGTTCCTGGCTCTTGGCGCCGAGATGGCGCTTGTCGTGGCCCACGCCATCATTGGTTTTATGCCCGAGATACCGGTCGTCTGGCCGCTCGTGCTTATCGGCGTCGGCGCCTGCTTCTTCTCCTCGTCCATGTGGCCCTGCGTACCATGTATGTTCTCTGAGTACTATCTTGCATCTCACAGTTGGCGAGCGTAGACGTCGTCGAGCCGCGCTTTGTGGGCACGGCCTTTGGCGCGATGACCTCGTTTTCGGTCCCCCTACCCCTACCCTACCCCTCCTCACAGATGGTGTAGAACATGGGCCTCGCGGTCGTGCCGCTGCTTGTCGCATCCGTGTACAATGCGTCCGGCAAGTACATTCCGGAGGTGGTGTATGTTTTTTTGGGGTTTGCGAGCCTCACGGTGGCCTTTGGCGTGCTGCTGGCGATCATGGACGTCGCCAACGGCTGCCGGCTCACGCGCAAATCGCTGTCGCCGATGTTGGAGAAGCGGCACTCGCTCGGCGACGCGTCGTCGTCATCGCTTCTCGACACGCTGCTCATGGACGAAGAAGACGAGGACGAGTAGACGACTCTAGTAGTTACACTACGACAAGGACGAGAAGCCGTTATTTCCATTCGGGCCGCGCCACTCGGGGCTTGGCGTTCTTGTTTTGCATGGCCTTGGCAATCTCCATGCTCTTGGCAATGCGCTAGGGAAGAACCGGTATAGAGACCGATTGGAGAAGAGAGAAACGTACCGAAATGTACCCTGGGACTTCCTTTGTGCGGGGTTTGAACGTGCATTCGCGAAATTCCTGGATCTCTTGCTGCTGGAGCGCTTTGCGCTGCTTCTCGTAGAGCTTGAGCGTCTGTTCTTGGAGGCGCTGTATCAGATCTGAGATACGCAAATGCTCGAATGCAGCCATGTGGACGTACTTGGACGTACGTCTCGGGGCTCGAGAGCACCTTGAGCTTGCCTTCGCCGCGGTGGTCGTTGACCTGCGGCCGAAACGTGAGCTGCGCCATCTCGCCTTGCTCCATCTAGATGGCCTTGACCATAGTGTTCATGGTGCTAGAAGGTACCTTGAGCTTCATGAGGCGCTGGGAGGTTTCTCGTTTGAGCAGATCGCCGCGGCTGAGCTCCGTGACCGACCGCCCCGCGCGTCTCATGCTGGCTTCGTTGATTTGCGGGCGGAATGTACACTGGGGGTCCTGTACCATGAAGTATAGTTTGAGAGAGAGTTGGAGAAGATGGTGGACCTGGAGCTTGATACTTTTCTTCTTGAGCTTGTCGTGTTCTTTGCGGAGTGCGTACTTGGCGACGCGCTCGATAAAGTCGCCTTTCCGTCCTTGCTGCATGATCTCGATCGATTTTTTGTTGATTTCGGGCTTGAAGTCAAACTCGGTCCGGTGCCGCGCCTGTGGACAACTTGTCCTTTCTGCGACTCGGCAAACCCACTGCGTACCGACTCCAACTTGGCGTGGCGCTCGCGCTGCTTGGCCTCTTGGCGGTGCACAAAGGCTTCGAACCGCCGCTGGCGCGCCGCAACTTCAGCGCTGTCGTCGGTGCGCGCCGAGCCGGCCGAGTTCGGTCGCGGCTTGCCCTGGCCCGCCTACTCGGCCGCGCTATATACCATTTGGTCGAATGCGAGTGTGTCGTACGTGGTGGCCACGGTTGATACGAATGTCGTCTTGGCTGTGCACCGACTCGGAGAGAAGCGAGCCGCCGCTGGAGCTACCACCGAGCATCGAGGGATGTTCGTCGACTCCGTCATAGCCCGTCAGCGGACGACTAGAAACCATGGAGTGTCGTCTGATCGAGACGCTATGTACCTGAGCCGGTCAAAGATATTTTGTTGCGTGTAGAGCTGGGCCGAGACCATGTCTTTTGGAATTGCGTTGATCTTGGGGCTAAACGTACACTGCTCCATCTCTATCCATGTATCCACATGAACTATCCAATGGCTGTATTTGGATACAAACGACGTACCCAGTGTGGGCACGTCGGGCGCAAACTTCTTGTAGGCCTTCTCCTTGTACTTGGAGCGCGCGATCGACGAGTACGCGCTCTTGGTCACGTGCGGTCGGAACGTGCACTCGCGCTGCCGGTCCTCGTCCTACAAGTGCGATAGTACAATATGCCAGCTTCTCACGTACCTCTTGTTCTCTTGCGCGCACGGCAAGCTCGTCCCGGAGTTTATAGTTAACGACATCCTGTACACATAGTACATAGCAATTTAGTCCCTAGCGTTGACGTACCTTGTACAGGCGGTCCGAGACCGTGTCGGTGCTCCGGCTCCGGAGGCGCGAGGCCACTTTTTTCGATTTCTAAAATGGCCACATGTGGTATTGACCAGGAAGAGAGGTCGATGTACTGAATTGATGGCAGGCGAGAACGTGCATTCGACTAGCTCGGACTCGAGCTGCTCCTGCTTGAGCTACGCAATGTGAGCTCCAAGCAGCAAGGTAGTTATAGGGTACCCGCTCCTTGAGACTCTCTTTTTGCTGCTTCCAGCGAGAGACACGCACATGGAACGAGTCTTCGTCGAGGTACTGTACATAGCGCTGCGGCGACGTCGCTTCGTACGCTTCGTTGCAGGCCGGGTTTGCATCGTCGCTGAGGCTGCTGGCGCCCGAGGACGACTCTTGGTACGTCGCTGGCACGTAGAACGACCGGCCAATCGAGTCGATCGACTTGGGCGCATCAAGAACAACGGGGCTGCGCTCGGCGGCGAGGCGGCTCGCGAGCAGCTGGTGCACGCTGATGATCTTGGCTTGGTCGTGCGAGACGCCGGCGCGGTCGGGCTCGAGCACCTGCAGCGTCTGGCGGGGCGGCGCCTCGGCGGGCACCTCGGGCGTCGATGGCTGCAGCTTGGAGAGCTGCTGGAAGAGCTCTGCTTTCGAGATCTCGCCCGACTTGAGCTGCTGCATGAGCCCCGAGATCGCATGCGCCTTCGGGTTCATCGTGGCACAAGAATAACACTCACGAAGGGTCACACGCGATCCGGAAACGTCCGGATAAAAAGGCAACGTGGCTGCGCGCACGCAACTTTACCCGCCGGCGAATGGCGTTGCCACGTCATTCGCGAGCGGTTGACGACATCTTGTTGCAGCATTGCACAAGCGGAAAGAAGACTCATATTGTCAGTATACGTACAAGGGTTTGGCGGGCTTGTGCCATCAACTGCGGCGCGTTCACCAGGTAGCCGCTGTCCAGGCGAAATACCCCGTGACCATCGTCCCGAGCGACGCTGCTGCACGACTTGGTGCCGGCCGGCGCGATCGCATGGACCCGCTCATGGCTTGCGACGCTACCAAATATCGACGATGTGCTGAGAACCGCGGTGTACGAGGTGCTATTGCACTCGCGTGGTGCGCTGCCGCGCCAACTGGTCGAGCCCAAAGCCCATTCGGAGGTCCGTTCCGATCGCTGCGGTGTCGAGTTTATGCATGAGGAGCTACCGCGTTGCCTGCTTTGGGCTATTTGGTCAAGCAGTCGCACCAAGCGTGCTGACCAACCTCGAGGCATGGAGACTCGCTGCACTACCACTTACCAAGAAGCGCAAATTTGGCGCGATCGAGGCGTAACTACATTGTTTTATCCGTCGATAGAATCCGTCTCGCTTGGACCAATTTGCACGAAATCAATGTCTTTTGTAGTCGCTCACTGTTTTTGCGTTTTGATTGTCCAGTCCCACGTCGACAAACTCGTAGGATTCTCCTTCTGGCGCTGCTTTAGCCTTGCCAGCGCGTCGTGTCATGTGCAGAAATCAATATTTTCTCGGCCTGTCGCTCTGCACGACACGTAGAATCAGCGGGCGCTACATAGCTCGGTGTCGGAGGCGTAGCATTGAAGTGCAAAGGCCGCTGGAACCAATAGCTGAGCGTTACTGACAAAACGGAAAGCGCTTTTTCAACACCTAGAATGCACGGTGCGGTGCTGTCGATCTACACTTCGATGAGCCGGCTCGCGGCGTTTGCTGCCATCTTTTACATCTTGTTCATTGATGTCACGGGGTCGTTTGCGACCAAAGACAGCATCAAGGGAGCGTCGGAGGAGATGTTCAACCCGAGCAACCGCTACTCGCAGTCGTACATGCTCACGTTTGTCCAGGCGCGCGTCACAAACGCTCCGCTACCAATGAACGCAACGACGACGCTACCGCCACAAGGATCTGCGAGTCTTCTCTACTTGGACGCAGCCGATCCAAGCAACCACTCGACCCTCGGCTTCAACCGCGATGGATGTCTCGAGCCATTGAGCAGTGACCACATTTACACGCCAACGTACGTCGCCAAGGTACTCCCGCTCCTTCTCGATCATCAGAGCTGGCATTCGATCAACCTCACGACCGACTGGGTGCTCGTCGACTGCAGCTACCAGGGCCGCACACTTGGTGATACGACCGCCTTCAAAATTCATGTTCTGGACCGCCAGTTCACGCGGCTCACATCCATCTTCCTCCAAACGATGATGCTCGAGCGCCCTGTGAAGCAATGGCGCGTGGCGTGCGGCACCGCGACCATCTCAACGATGGACTTGTCGGCCGTGAGTTGGCAAGACGGCGCGCTCACCTCGTCGCAGGTGGCCACGTACGACGTCATGGTCGGCACGGAGTTTCCATACGTTCACTACCCATTCGACTATGTGCGGCTGCTCAACCCCGCGAGCCGGTCGGGGGCGTGGGAGGCCGTGATCATTGCAACTGGTGAGCCTGTGACGATCTCGGGTAGCACGGGCACATACCGGTACTCGCCGCGCACCCAAGGCCGGTACAGCTACTTTGTGTGGCAGCTCCCAGCCAACCCGATATCCTATCTGAGCACTATTCAGTGGGTTAATGTTGTCTACTCAGTCGATTCGTGGGCCTGGGTTCGCTATATCGTCGATATGGGCATCAGCCTCATCCTCACCACCGATACGGTCGTTGGGGTCATCGCGTCGCTCAACATCTACCGCACCCAGCACATTTTGTGGGTTCCCGACGTCTACCCTGGCATCCAGGCCGAGATTATGATTCGGAGCTTACTGCTTCTCGCGATCTGCGTCACGACCGACTGGTGGCACCTCTTTGAGTACTGCATGGTCAAGTGCACGGCGCGTCAGTCATGGGGCTACAGCGAGCTTGTCTTGGAGGCTGTCGTGCGCTCAGACCTCCAAGTCCTTTATCTCGCTCTCTTCCAGCTGCTCGCGAGTCTTCTGGGCCTCCGCCTTCACGTTGCTCTCCTTTTGACCATCTACTTTGGCTGCTACACGTTCTGCGATGCAATCATCGCCGCGTGGCCTCTGCAAGCCGAGGCGGCGTCCGCCTGGCTCTACCACAACTACCTCCTCAACACCCTTGTGGCCAACGGCGGCATGGACATGTGGGCGTACCATGAGAACTACGAGACCTCGTGGGATGTCATGGCCGCTCAACTCGTCTGGTATCTTCTGGCACTCGCGATTGCCGCTGCGTACGTCCTACTCTTGTCCGTCCATGCTTGGTGCACGCGCCGCCGCAGAACCAACGTTGTCTCTGACAGCAGCTCCATCGTCGGTCTGTCGTCAATATCTGGACCGGCAACTCAGCACATTTCCTTCATCTTCCTCAAGAGTAGTTTCAAAGCTGCCTTTGACGCAAACCGCGTCTTCATGTTCAGTGCCAAAGCGACAGAAGCGACGATCTTCGAGCGTCACGTGCGGCGGAACCAAATGATAACCTCCGGGCTCGTCGCACCGCTGACCGATCACGTCATCATCGACGGCGTCGTCCACGCGTCGCACTCGCTCGTGTGGCTGCTGGGCTTTGTGCTCCTCGCCGACGACGTCCTCTTGACCATTGAGGACGTGCCAAAGCTCTGGATCAACGCGCTGCTGGCCCGCGATGTCTTTGCAGTCTATGGCTACAAGCTCAATGAGACGAAAGACTCGATAGCGCCGCTGGCCGAGCGCATCTCAGCGCGCAGCTACGGCCTTGGAGACTTGATCGCGCTCTCGCTCAAGCCGCTGCGGTGACGATACACCAAGGTTACTTGGTAGAAAACACAATACGGTACTAGTAGTCACTATCGTCATTTGCCCTAGTCGCTCTTGCGCTCCAAGACGTCCGTGTGTCTCCAGCTGCCCAAGGCGTCCAAAGCGCAGCTCAAGCAGCTCCAGGCGATCCTCGAGGCCAACGACGTCGCTGTGGACATTGGCTCGTACAAGGACGCACCGCCGGGCCTCCGCATCTGATGCGGCGCGACCGTCGAGAAAGAAGACCTCGAAGCGCTCATGCCGTGGATCGAGTACGCGTACCACCAAGTCGTTGACGAGCCGAGCGCGTAATTCTGTCGTTCGTTTAACGTGTCTACTCTACACCAACATCAAGGACATGAGACTTGCTTAATTCAATTGACCCACATATACGATACCGTTTCCATAACCAAAAGCTACCCATGTCAACTACCGGTGCTTGACAAAGCAGCGTTTGCCTTAAGTAAGATGACCTACGACGAGCCAGAGAAGCTGGAGCGCAGCCGGATCTCGCGTGACACCACCGCAAAACGGTTTTCACATGGCTGCTTCGCTCGGGGGCAGAAGGACGCGAGGCGTGCAGTACCGCTGCACCTCGGGTAAGGCGTGGCGGGTTGCTCAGCGGAGATCGGAAGCTAGAAGGCGAGGCTCTGTCCATCAGCCGTTGGTTTCGCTGAGCCGCTTCCTTTGAACAGTCCGTTTCGACTCCTTGCCCATTAAACGGGAAAACTCGCGATGCTGCGCAAGGCGTCGACGCGAACGATCTCCGTCGCTGGTTTGCGCCACAGCGCTATGGTCGTCCCCACCTCGTGCGAGCCAGAACCGATCGTCGACGACGAGGCGCAGGTGCTTCTCGATGCCAACGACGTCAACAAGTCGATGGCGGAGCTGCTCCACGAAGGCAAGACACGAGCCGTGCTTGCCCGCCTCGAGCGACCAGAGATCTCGGAAGAAGATTTGACGGAAGAATACGTGGTACACACGAACCGCTCGAGCTATCCTAATCGATTCTTCATGGTAGGATTTGGACGTGCTCTCGACCGCCGTGGAATACGGGCACAAGGACGTCGCCCAACGTATCTTGGCGCGGCCCGAACTCGCTTCGATGCCAGAGGTTGATAGTACATCGACGGCTTGCACAAGACACTATTGGGTTCTAGTACATCTTGCACCCGCTCATGATGGCGACGAAGCGCGATCGATTAAGTTTTGTCGAGATGCTCACGGCGCACAACCCAGCGCTCATCACAACCTTTGGGTCGACGGTACGTTCGTACCCAAGACAGCACTTTGGAACGTCCAACCGTAGAGGTACACGGTCGATATGTTCCAAGGCAACTCGTTGCTGCATTATGCAGCTGGAAGCAACGCCCACACCATGCTTCCGTGGCTTTTGCAGCGTCAGGTGTCGGCTAATTCGCGTGACAATGTCCTCTCAACCCCTCTCACGCCTCTCTCGTCACCATGCAATCATGCAAGTAGTACGGCAATACACCACTCCATTCCGCGAGTCGAAGACGCCACATGCGCGCCTTGGTGCTCCTCTTGCGGGCGGGTGCTGATGTGAATGCCGTCAACAAAGTACGTGCCTCTCACATGCCATGAAGACGAGCCAGTAAATGCTAGGATGGCGAGACGGTGCTGCATACGATCATCAGGACATTGTATCAAGGCTTGGGGCGAACAACGCTCGCCTATTTACAGCGGCTGTTTGTCTCAAACATCGATATTCAAGCTACGAATAAGGTGTACAAGTGCAAGACGAAAACGACTAAGTAAATATACTAGAGCGGAAAAACGGCGGCCGAGCTCACGACCGATATTGACGTCGCCGATGTTCTCGCGAAAGAAGCTGCGTTTCGGTCAGAATTCCCAGTGCACTGCATCGCCCGATGCAACAACGTGGCAGCCATCGATGCGTGGCTGGCCGAGATGAGCGCCAGTGCCGCCAAAGACGTGACGCGCCGCATGAAGATTGAACGGGCCATTTCGGCCACCGACAAGGTAGCGTCTATGCCTTGACCATATTGTCTTCTAAAATAGTACCTTAAGGATGGACGCAGTGTCTTGATGTACGCAGTCGATGCCATCGACGTTTTGCAAACCGACCAAGTCCTCAACCACCTCTTGCCACACTGTTCGATCGATGTCCTCAAGTTGCAAGACAAGGTACGTGGAGTCGTGACTTGACAGACTAGCTGACGAGCAGAATAGTATGGGAAGAGTACGTTGGATTACCTCTTGGAGAAGGACATTGTGTGCACGGCCAATATTGACGGCGCGTCCAACGCCCCGCTTGTCAAGGCGCTCGACGCCTTGTCGCGTCAGTCGACGCTACCACTCTGCTTTGCACCCAGAGTACCACCACAATAGCTATAACGTTTGTTGACGAGAATCGTAGGCTACGCTTCCACGCGGGGGCGCACCACCGCGGACCTGCTCCGGCGCGTGCATGGAGGCCGGCCGGTCCCGCACGGTGCATTTTGCCCAACTGGCGGCCGATGGTAATTGGACGGACCTCGCGACCGCTCTCCAGGTCCCCGTTGACGAGGACGCAATCAACGTTCGCGATAGCTCGGTAACGCTATGGACGCTTTCTCGCGTCTGGGACGCATTGTGGGTAGGGCTACACGGCGCTGCATCACATTTGTATCAAAGCCAATGTCCGTATGCTGCAGCTGCTTGTGCAACAGCCCAAGCTCGACTTGAGTATGGGGACGCACGATGTACGCTACAACGTATGTAGCTCCCTGTTAACGAATATGGCTGTAGGAGCCGTACTTGAACGCCCTGCAGCTGGCCCTCGTGCACGACTTTGAGGACGGTGTGCGCATTCTCCTTGCCGCTGGCGCGCCACACTGCGTTTACGACGCCTACTTTGCGGTAATTCGATACGAGTACGCCGACGATATACAGGTTGTGTTAGGCACGGATTTGCAAGATGCGCAAAGGTGCTACCGCGAGCGAGAATCTCGCTTTGGACAGCTGGGAGCTCGAGCATCGTTACCCAGCGTACTACCTCGTGCGTCTCGCCAACGTCACCGAGGCTGAACGCTGCATCGGGGTACGCAAAGTAAATTTCATAGTCATTCAACTATATTCCTCTTCCCTTTAGGCCAAAGAAACCCCACTGCACGTCGCGGTTCGAAAAGCCTCGCCCCTTTCGATTGTGGAAAAGCTACTCGAGACCGACGACGTCGACATGGACGCGCGCAACGATGTATCACCTTTTGAGCAAATGCCATTCAATTGAGTTTGCCACGTAGAACGGCGAGACGGCACTCCTTATCGCAGTCAAGAACGGCTCGATGGACCACGTCAAGTGCCTCCTCACAAAGGGCGCCGATGCCGAACTTTGTGACAAGGTATTTCCCATTGCATTGTCTCGGAAATTGATCGACAATCTTGGGTAGAACGATCGGTCGCCACTCATGTTTGCGGCCGAGCAGGGCAAGCTAGAGCTAATTGAGCTATTGATGGAGCACCTCGACGACTTGCCAGCGGGAGAGGTATTCGTCTCCTAACGAGTTGGAAGGTCACGAACGATGATCGTAGGTCTTTTTCCGTAGTGGGAGATTCGTCTATGGCATCGAGGTCTGGGTCCTCTTCACACGAGAGGGGGCAGTGCGCAATGACTCGAAAGCATTTCTGCATCGACGGGCAGTGCGCATGGTCACGCTGAGGGTCAACGACGCCTTTACCAAGAATACGTTTCTCAAAGCCATTTCGTGCAGCGCGGCGCTTGTCCAGACGTATCTCAACGACTGTGTCTCCATGAACCGCCACGACATTTCGTTTTTCAATGTACACATTGTCTTTATTTCGAACGCCATTGAGATTCGGTAGCTACGCGTGGTCTACGGCACCAACGCCAAGGAGAGTCCGCTCTACACGATCCTCAATCTGAATCTCAAGGACGCGGACGAGACGTTTGCGGCTCAAAAACTTTGTTTGGAGCATGCTGTGTTCCGTCGGCTTCTCGAGATCAAGTGGGAGCTCTTTGGCCGGCGCATGTATGTCGAGCGCCTCCTCATGCACCTCTTACTACTGGTGACGATGACGATCTCGTCCATTCTCTTTGGTGACGCGCCGCCGTCATCGACAAGCTACGGCATCAGCCTCACGACGCTTTGTTTCACGGCGGTTGGCTACGTAGCCGCGCAGGGTCTCCGGCCACGGACGTACTTTGCTCGATTCGAGTATTATCGTTTTTGGCCGTCTCGTCTGCGCCTGCACCTGGCGCTGCTAGTGATTTTTGGCACGGTTGTGACAGCTGTCCCGTTGCTGCGCGCTGCGGACGCGCTTGCGATGGGATCCTGGTATGCGACGTTCAACCACGTACTCCTGGGGTTGACGGCCTCGTACTTTATCATCAACGAGGTCCAAGAGATGCACGGCGACCGACGTCAGTACTTTTCGGCGACCATCAACGTCGTGCAACTGGTCAACTACGGTCTCATCCTCGGCCTCTTCGTGCCCATGAAACTCAACTGGATTCCTACGGCCGACATCGTGCAGGTCGGCGTCGGCGCCATCCTCAATTTGGTGCTCTGGGTCCTCTCGTTGCAGTTCTTGGAGGTCGTCTCGTCGGCCAGCTACCTTCTCCCGATGATGGCGCGCCTCTTTGGGGACGTTTGGAATTTTTTCCTCATTTTTGGCATTTTCCAAATTGGCTTGACGCTCATCTTCTACCAGCTCTTTGTGCTCGAGCCCGACGCCGCGTTCAGCTCTCTCGGTCAGTCGTTCATGTCGACGTACTTTGTCACGTTTGGCCAAGTCCCTCTCGACGCGCTACAGGCCTACGGTGACGGCAGCGACAGCTACGCATCCACCATGTACACGGGGCTCGCGATCCTCATGATGGCGCACTCGGCCATCGTCGTCGTCATCCTCCTCAACGTGCTTCTGGCCATGATGAACCAGACGGTGACGAGCGGCCTGGAGAAGGCGAGAACACAAGCACTGATCAGCTACGCGCGGTGCATTCTCCGCTTGGAGATCACGATGAACCTGAGTGAGAAAGACGTCGAGCACTTCACACACGTTGTCGATAACGACGGCAAGATGGCGCTCCACCGCATCTTTACCGAGCGCGTGCCCAAGACGAAGCTGGGCCTCTCGAGAGACCAAGTCGACGCTTTAGTAGAGGCAACCACGAACCGCGCAGCGTGGATCAAGCA